TCAGCGTCCCACCACGGAGGTGAAATCCTTCTGCGCGTTGTTTGTTTCTGAGGGATGTTGGTGTGTGCTGACGTTAAAAGGGTTTCCTTGAATGCCCTGTATGCCGTAAGACAACTGTCCGGCGTCACGTCAGGGAGGGACTCCACTTTGTTATTGATTTCCATCGAAAAACATGACCAGTCAGCTTTATTTAATCTAAATTTTAAAAGTGGGGGAGTGTAGTGAACTTTTAATCTTTTATCCGGCAAAGAGATAAGAATGGGGTAGTGATCACTTCCATATGTACTTTTGAGAGTGCACCATGTTAAAAGAGAAGCCAACTGCGGGGAATAAATTGTTAAGTCTATTGCACTGCGTGGGTTCTGAGTTGGGTTGGGTCTTCTTGTGGGGCTGCCGTTATTTATAACGCACAAATCCAGCTCATCCAGGAGGTCAATAAGCAGGGACCAAATGTATCTGAACGATAAGATCCCCAGGACTCATGGTGCGCGTTAAAATCGCCCATAACAACTATAGGGGAGGGGAGCACTGATATAATGGAGCGAAGCTCTTGCAAAACAAGAATATTAGAGTGGGGAATATATATTGACACAAAGAGATATTATCAATCCTTACTGCTACGGCGTTAAGTATATCTCTATTGTGTGAGGGGAGATGGATTTGGGAGAAGAGCAAGGATTTATTAACAAAAAGTGCGCTCCCTCCATGTCCATCATCTCTGTCATCATTAGGGGAGGTCTCTGTTGTGTTTGAGGAGTTACCTAAAGCACAGCCATCAGGAAGAGTAGAAGGACAATCTCTAATTATATTGTTGTGTGCTTCTCTGTCGTATTTTTTCCCTAAAGGGCCTGATTGGCGAGGTGTCAGAAATACTGTTTTTCTGTAAGACTGTGTTAGCGGGGTAGAGGGAGACAATTGTGTTGGGAAGGATGGTGAAAGTGTAGTGGGTATGCTAGTGGACACCCTTGATGTGTCCGCATATGATCTTTTAACATTTGGGAAGAGAGCAGCAGCTTCCTGAAACGATATATTGTCCTGTGACATACGCATTTTGATAGATTTTTGCCGGGAGTGCTCAAGGCAGTTCCTGCTTGTGGCAAAATGGGTACCTGAACAATGCAAACAAGTAGCATTATCCTCCACTACTGAGCAAGTCTCCCCGGGGTGAGATTGGGCGCATCTGTAACATCTAGGCTTGGATCGGCATTGGGTCTTAATGTGCCCGAAACGGCAGCAGTTGTTACATTGTATTGTGGGCAACTGGTAAGCATCTACTACTATAGACGTGTAATAGAGGAAAATACTCGAGGGTAGATTTTGACCTTGAAATGTCAGTACGACCGTTTGGGTGGGGGTCCATGAAGTAACTCCATTATCTATCTGTTTGCGGTTTAGTGTTCTAACTTTTAGCACAACACCACAATAGTCAGGTGTAACCATAGCCTCTACTAGCTTCTCCATTGTCAACTCAGTAGGGATACCTCTGATGAGCCCTAAACGTGTGACATTGTAGTTGGGAATCACAGTTTCATATTAATATAAAGGTAGGAAATGATTGTTGATAAACTCGTTGGCGTCCTTACCAGTCTTAAATTCCACAGCTATTCTGTTCCGACCAACCTTTTTGATTCCGCCATAAACAACATTACTAATTTTATTTTTGTTTAAAAATTGACCAAAGATTATGGGGTGAATAGTAGTACAAGCCGAGGGAGTTGTCTCCTGTCGTGAAACATGGACAATAAACGGACCTTTATCCTGTTCCCAATACAGTTTGGGCATTTCCGTCAGCGACGGGTGAGTGTAAATTGCCTTGGGATCACTGGATTGGCTTGTAACCGGGGGTGTGGACGACTGTTGTTGTAGTGGATCCGTTATAGCTTTTTTATTGGGTTCTGGTTGAGACTCATGATCAATATCCAGACGTCGTTTTGTGTCATAAGGCGTAAAGACAGGAGGAGATAACTCCATTGGCATAGGAGACAGATCCCTGTCCGGGGGATCAGGGGGATCGGGAGGAACCCTGTCCATTGTTTACGACGTAAACAACGGAAGGGAGGGAGTTTAGTTAGTTATTAAGCACTTACCCAAGCAGGTAAACATAAAACACAACTATATACTAATATAAAACAGCTCAGAGACTGTGGAACAATCGCCTAAAATAACCAAATTCCAAACATGTGTATCAGCTAACACTCGCGACCCGTCGAATCTTTATTGCATCTTTAGCTAAGATATCAGCTCTCTCGTTACCTCTATGACTTTTTTAGAATTGCCAGTTTTCATAACATTTTCAATAGTTATGTGTTATTGTCGATAGTTTTATCGATAGATTGTAAAAGAAGATACAATTTTGCCAAAAATAACTGAATTGTGAATTTTCGTAACGTTCTAATGATTACTAATTTCGTTATTGCATTCTTTATTCTTACTTTGACAGTGCCTATACTCTTTCTACCACAGACATATATCTAGATAGACGCCGCAAGTGCACGTACTTCGCGTGCCCAAAGTGAAATTCAATTACTTGCAGCTGCTACTTTAAGACGTACTCGACTGTTATCGTAGATAAACACCAGTCGTAAACGCGAAAAATGCATAATTATGCCATTGTAAACAGCAAAAGCACCATAACTGTGGGTAAACGTGTAAACAGGGACGTTTCTTTCCTGGCAAGTGATTTTGTAATCAGAAGATGCATAATTTATTTTAAAAACAATTATTTTGGTTTTGTATGAATTTAGAGGAAACAAATATGCAACCCCGTGTATGCCTCATGATTTGTAATACATTGCGGCTTTTACTTAGTGCGATATATTTGTGAATCTTTGTTAATACTAATAATAAATATCGAACGAATGCACTTTTGCATAATGCATTCCGTTTCTGTGGTACGGCCGCTTGTACATTTTTTTGGCCAAATTTAACATTTAGTGATGTATACGTTAGGCAACACTGTTCTCGATTCTAATGGGTTTTGAAAACAACGGGGCGAAAACTAATAAGACCATAGCAATATTATAATTGCTATGGTCTTATTAGTTTTCGCCCCTTTGTTTTCAATTCTATAACTCTTTAGTTATAGAATATTTTTAGAAGTGTTATACTAATATAATAACTCTTTTTTTTCAGTTTTGTAGTATCTATTATCAGTAGTATCTATAATTTCGATAATTTTTGCAGAACGTTGCCTCAAATGTCCAAATAAAAAAAAAACAAAAAAAAACAAAAGACAATAATTACATATTAATTGTTACTATTATTGAATTATTACGAATAATAAAAAATATATATAATGCAAAGAATTAACAGTACGCTGTCTTTACAAAAACCTGGAGTTGGTCATACGTATGAGATCGTTGCTTTCGAGGACGAAGGTGATCTAGTTTATCCCACATAAGATGCTATCCAAATATGCACAGTAGCAGAGTTAGAAATCCGAGAAATAATAAACAAATAACAAAAATTTGACACGCTCATTGAGCTCTTTGAGGCGATCATTAAGTAAACCTCTTCTAATTAATAAGATTTTACCATATTTTGTCAGCAGTAACATTTTCATTTGTCTTGCCATTCATCAATTTGATCAATTACCAACAGAAAACCATGTAGTAACATTAATTAAGTCAGGCGCAAGTTCATATATATTGAGGTGCGTTTTCATTATTTAAGTTAGTCGATAAGATCTTGTATTACAAAAAGATGTTATATAAAAAGCTCATTTTACTGGAAGGACAATAATTTTAATATTTGAAGTCGATTAAAAAGTAAAGTCTGAATTTTTTTAAAGTAAAATAAAGGACTAATGTTCTATATTTCTTCTAATATATGTAATATTACGACATTGTAATTAACAAATATGTGAACAAAAATTATTATATTTAGAATCGATTAATTGAATGGAATACGCGTGTTTACGCGTATTCCGTTCAATCAATCGATCGAAAAACACTTAGTTGCCGCTTCTACAAGGACGAAGGTAGTCTAGTTTATCCCACCAAAGATGCTATCCAAATATGCAGAGAAGCAAAGAGTTAGAAATCATGATCAAATCACAAAAACTTTACACGAGGTTACCGGAGACGCGCTACGTCGCGGCCTTAAGTAAACCAATTTTGTCAGCAGTAACATTTTCAGTTGTCTTGCCATTCACCAATTTGATCAATTACCGACGGAAAATCATCTAGTAAACTTAATTAAGGCAGTTGCAATTTCATATATTGACGTGCGTTTTCATTATTTAAGTCAATCGATAAGATCTTCTATTACAAAAAGACAGTTATATAATAAGCTTACATTATTTCACTACTACTTGTAATCATCTACTACCATTCAACTACTACCCAAATACTTGAATCGATTAATTGAATGGAATAGGTACGTGTTTCCGTTCAATCAATCGATTTCGCGCGGAAGGAAGTTTCCCATCACTAAAGAGTTCTTGTGACATGATGGTGGATACGGATTCGCTCTGGGCCTTTTGGAGGGAAAACTGTCGTTTTTATTTTGACTTTAAATTATTTTGTGAAATCTAGTTTAAAGTGGAATAGGATAGTGCTATTGTGCCTTAATCGGAGATTAAAACGCGAAATTATACGACTCTCGAACTAAAATACCCGTATCGGCCCATTCTAAGGAATACCGAGTCAATCCAAACACGCCGCCTCAAATTGCCTATCCTCTTTGTGGCGGCCATATTTACAGAAACAATTAAACGAAGACATGGCTCAAAGGACTTGTATCCAAGCCAAAATTATTAATAAAAAAAAATCATGGTGGATACACAAAATGTGGCACGCTCGGTTTTCATACAAATTGCTATACTTGCGGCGTCTATCTAGATATATGTCTGTGCTTTCTACCTTCTTTTTTTGGTAGATTTATGCTTAGAGGATGGAAAAAAATAAAGGAAATATCGTAGCATAAGCCTTTGACGTGTTCAAGTTCATTCATATTAAAATACTATTTGTATTTATGGCCAAAGGCTGGACGCCATAGTGCCAAAGAATAAGGAAACAAAATTTGAGAGTCGAGTTGCTGGATTGTTTCCTGTTTCCATCATAATTTTACATTTTAAATGTATTTTTTTTAAATAAATATATACTGACATTGTATTTATGAAATGAGTAAGCATACGGTTAGTGCTTTTAATATGCTTTTCAATGAGTGGGTGTGCGTTAAATATAACCTAAAATACATTTGTTTTCAGGAACTTTCGAGAGGGAAAAAGAAGAGACATGTGATCTGTATGACTTCAGACTTCTTTTATCCTAACACAGGAGGTGTTGAAGAGCACATCTACAACCTAGCTCAGTGTTTAATCAAGCGCGGGCACAAAGTTATAATTATTACTCATTCCTATGGCCAAAGGGTAGGAATTCGATATTTAACTGCCGGTCTCAAGGTTTATTACTTACCCATAAAAGTTTTCTACGCTCAGTGTGTTCTACCAACAATGATCTGTAACATAGCTCTCGTAAGATACATTCTTATTAGAGAATGTATAGAAATAGTTCATGGCCATTCGGCATTCAGTGTCTTGGCACATGAAGTATCAATTATCGGTAAGCTATTAGGACTGAAGACAGTATTCACAGATCACAGTTTATTTGGTTTTGCAGACACCTCGGCAGTATTAACAAATAAATATTTACAAATGTGTCTTTGTGAATGTGATCATTGTATTTGTGTATCACATACAGGGAAAGAGAATACTGTGCTAAGAGCAAAAGTTAAAGCTCATAAAGTGTCTGTGATTCCTAATGCAGTTGATGCATACAGTTTTACTCCAGACCCAAGTCAACGGGATCCAAAGATGATAACCATTGTCATAGTATCAAGATTAGTATACCGAAAAGGAGTTGATCTTATGGCTGCAGTAATAGCAGACATGTGTCCACGATATCCAAATTTACGATTTATTGTAGGTGGGGATGGACCTAAGATGTGGTTATTGCAGGAGGTGAGAGAAAGAAAGGGATTCCAACACTGTGTCACTTTATTAGGTAGTCTAAAACATTCAGAAGTAAGGAATGTTTTAGTGAAAGGGGATATTTTTTTAAACACATCATTGACAGAAGCTTATTGCATGGCGATTGTAGAAGCTGCATCATGTGGTTTGAAGGTGGTATCTACCAGAGTTGGTGGCATTCCTGAAGTGTTGCCAGAAAGAATGATTTACTTGACAGAACCCAATGTAGGCAGTTTGGTTGAGGGCATAGAAAGAGCTATGCAAGACATAAAAAAAGGAAACATTCTATGTCCCTTTGAATGCAATAAAATTGTTAGACATATGTACAATTGGATGGACATAACTAGGAGAACTGAGATTGTTTATGGCAAAATCTGTTTAAATAAAATTAAACCTTTAGGACAGCAACTACAGAGCTACCTAACTTGTGGCGTTTGGCCGTTTCTTTTAGTGATCAGTTTAATGTATTTGTTACTACAACTTGTAGAGAAAATTTACAAAAGAAAACATATTGACATAGCTAGGGATTTAAAACTATAGTATGGACAAAAGGATTCAAAATTAAATTTTTATTTTGGAATGACAATATAATACTATGTTTCACACAATCATAATAAAAAAGGACAATGTTAAACCACTGAACTGTAAAAACAAGTAAAATCATAATTTTAAATAAATAATGATTCAGAGATAACTTATATCCACCTGACGTACATTATTATCATGTATAAACATTCTAATTATTTTAACATTTTAACATTATTATAGTTTTTATACATAGTTGTAAGTGATCTTCCATAAGACTGACATTTGCTTATCATATTATTATCAGGCTATCTCGACTCTTGTTGATTTATGCTCTGAAACAAAGATTTTTATTGTTATTTTGTTACAGAATAGAAAAAAAATTATATTAATAAATAATGTTTTTTACTTTTGTAATTTGTAATATTTTTTTAATGACTATTTTATCCTTAACCTTATTGTATTCTACAATTTCTAATAGAGCACACTTCAAAAATATTAATAGCAAAACTTGAAATTGAATGTACATTTAAGTAAGAACATTGGAAACTGTATTATGATTGACTGTGGCCGTAATGTGGCCAATGATATTTTTCGTTTATTCCCACTAGTTCTGTTGACAGAACTACTGGTACTTTTGTTCCCATTTGTTCTGTTGATAAATAGACAGTTTCTTCACAGAACTACTGAGAATTTTCTCTCCAACTAGTTCAATTGACAGAACTACTGGTACTTTTCTTCCCATTTGTTCTGTTGATAAATAGACAATTTTCTTCACAGAACTACTGAGAATTCTCTTTCCCCCTAGTTCTGTGTACGAGTTTTCAGCTGAACCACAGAACAAATGGAAAAAAATACCAGTACTTCTATCAACAGAACTGGTGGAAATAATTGGACAGAATTACTGGGAATCGTAAATCCCATTAGTTCTGTTAACAGGACAAATGGGAAGAAAAGTAGCAGTAGTCCTGTCAACAGAACTTGTGGGAATAAACGAAATTTTTTTGATTGCACATGGTACTAGATCATAATATACAGTTACTCACACTTTCGTAGTGCGTGGAGGGTACTTGGGGCGCACTTGTGCCTGTTTCAGTTGAAGGACAATAGACCGGAGACGCGCTACGTCGCGGCCGCGTCTTGGTCCGAAGTCGCATAGCTCAGCCACGCGAGCCCACTCATTACCGTTCTCCACATTGCCGCCTTCCGAACCTCGCGCTAATGCTCTTTCCGCGTTCCTATGAACGTATTAAACCGATATAAAATCTCTGTCTAGGCGAAGCCATTTTTAAAGTAAGTATTTATTATTATTGAGGCGAAGGTATATTTTCTGAATATGCACATTGTTTTTAGGCGGTCAATTATTAATGTCTGTAAGTAGTATTGGATATTTGTAGGTAATTCGACTACTTTTATCAGGCAATAAATTGTTTCCAGTTATTGTCGGTATGTCTCTAATACATTTATTAACAAAGTATAATATACATATGTACAGCCAACAGCACATCAAGCTATTTTTGTTCGAATAAGGCCTCCATGTGCAACAGTAGAAGATCCGTCAATGTGTAGCTTGATGTACTGCCGACTGTATATTATGTAATTTTTATAAATGTGTAATGTGCATATTAGCGTCAGATTTATCAATATTACAATTTTATTTGCATACCAAAGTGTCATGATTTTGTAACTACTATTATTACTACTACTATTATTTTATAACTATGTGAAAGAAATGAGATGAAATTTTGACAAGTTTATTTGAACATTCGTTAACATCAACAAGACCCTGTTAAAGTAACAAACACAAGAAGTAATGAATTTACGAAGAAAAGTGCTTACAAATTCCGGAAAACTGTTTTTGAATACAAGTTACGTAGTAATTGCCTTGTATGCTCTAAACCCGGTCCCAGAATTCCAACAATTGATAATAGTCCTGTCTCATATGCTATACCCTACAAGTGTATATCTTGTAGACATCTTTTAAACAATGAGCGACTAAATCTGGAATCGACCAAGTATTGAATGAATCTATAATGGGAAAATTAAAAATAATGTTTGGTAATTAGGAATTGTGAACTTTCAGTGCCCGTAACTGGTAATAAAAGAATTTTTATCGTTGTTTGGTAACTGGTTTCAGTAGAAGAATTGATTTTTTGCTAAAACTCCCGTCTAATTTCAAATGACGTACAAACTAAATCTTGTACCTCGACTACACCAAATAGCTGATTAGTCAAATTATTAGTCCTCAACCAGGGTACTGCCATGATTAGACAAGTCCCAATTCACAAAACAGTAATTATGTAATTTTCATTAACGTCCTATACAACACGGCAAAAAAAAATTGAAGCATTACGACAATAACAAAACGAAATAATCAAGGTCAAGTATTTGCCGCGAATTAAATACACTTCAGAGTCCCTCACCAAAATACCCAACAGATATTAGTAAGTAATTCTTTAATTTCCTGTATAGTTGGATACTTACTTAGCGGACTCCCTGATAGCATTGAAAAGAAAAACTGTAATTAGTACATAATATTATTAGAACCTAATTCAAATTTATATCTATTAAGTAGTTTCTAAAACTTTACTGCACTTTTGTTTCAATGTAACACAAGATAACAATAAAATAAGTCTCCGTCATAATACCTATATACATTTTAGTGTAGGCAATGTCAATAAACACCAGCAGCCCCAGCCGGCACATATAAATGATGACGTTATATTATTATTTGCTCAAAGCATAAGTACATACCGCATCGCTTCGCTTTTAATATGATACTGGCTGTTACGCGAATGTTTAGATCCACCGGTTCTATACAACGACATGTACATCGCACCTTCAGATTGAAACTGACCCAAAACAAAATTCCAACTTTTTGAGAAAACGAAAAATAAGATTTGAAATTGTGACAATTATTAATACAAAGATAAAATTGCTTCGATCCTGCTGGATTCGAACCAGCACATTAAGCATACTGTGCCTGACGCTGAGCTGCGGAACGAACCACCAGATCTTACAAATTTTTCTATGTGCTTGTTGCAGATAGTGGTTTTTGATTTTTTAATTACCTTTTTGCCGTTTTCATATTATTTAGTTTACTCTTGAAGTACTAAAGGTAAATGGCCTTGTTACTCTTGGTCCCTTCTCTAAGTAACGAAATTGAAAAAAAAATTATGAATATTTTTCGCAACGAAACCGGTTCAATTAGCAATCCATCAATTTTTCGCCAACGGTGGTGGTGGCATGCCGTCTTTACAGATGCAAATTCGGTATTTACTGATACAAGAGTGGAATTTCAAAAATACGAGAGACCCATGCAGTAAGATGGTGCCATTAGAGTTTCAATGGATCTGAGTTATAGCCATGCTGAGCGAACCCACAATAGGTTCTTTTTCAACCCATTATGGCGTTAAGTTTGTTAAATACATATTAGCTAATAAGAAACAAGAAATAATAAGATAGTTCTACCAGTCTTAGTGCCAGCCATTTCCCACTAAGCCACGGTGCGGCGGACGGCTGACCGCGCGCGACTCTGTTTTACTTCAGAGTTGCGGCTGCGTGAAGGATAGGTATGAAATAACGAATGATTTATTTGAATAATTATGATTCGCGCGCGGCCAGCCACCCGCGACTATACAATTGGATCCTACTTGATAAAACACTGTACTACCATCAGACAATAATTATTATCTATTGATAGTCTTTAATGTCATACCACAAAACAATGTTGAGTGATTGCATTGAGTAAAAATTCTAGGTCGTGTGATGTAGCCTACAAATAATTCATGATTTGTCTGGTCGTCATGAAGAATCACTAGTATTAGGTAAAATTATGGGTAAGTAAATATACTAGTTGTACCTGTTAGCAGCCTTGGTTTTGGCAATGGTTTCCTCATGAGTCTTGTACCAATCTTCTAGTTCTTTCTTTGCAATTTTCAACATTTCTTCTTTCTTTTTTTCTTCTTCAGCATCTGTTATATTGCACAAAATAAGATAAATTTGCCCAAGTAAATTTAGCAACTATTCATGTATACACTAGAAGGTACAGTCAAGGGCACGTCAAACTTGATACTTTTTACTTGGGACCGTTCTTATCGTAAGCGGCATAGATTTGGATTTAAATCTTAAGTGTCAAGCTTGACGTGCTTGACCCTGTACCTATAGAATTATATGATTATCATTTAAAATATAGTAACTAATGTACAGCGTCATAGCCGCTTCAGTGAGACGACAATTGACTTTTATTAATCTTATCAAGTGACGAACACGAGTTAGCTCTCTGGCTAGATTAGACAGTATTTTCTCAAATGTATTATATTTGTTTTGTACTTTTTTTTCTGTATCTTCTCGCGTTAAAAACAGAAAAGACAACATTGAACAGAGAGCGAGAACTTTGATAGAAAACAGGAGAGAGATGTTCAAAAACCGAAAAAACTAGAGAGATAGAAGCAATAAGCAAAAACATAACAAGTGCCATAAAAATCACAGAAAAGAAACTAGAATTAACAAAATAAAAAGCGAAATCGAAGTAACCGGAGGAATAAAGAAAGCATTCAAGGAGCTTAAATACCACTCTAGTTGGATATTAATATAAAAAGTATAAACAAAACATGCAAGGAAAATAAAACATCCAAAAGACCACTCATCAGCGAAACTGCTACAGACTTCTATCGAAACCTCTATATTTCTGAAGAAACAATACTCGAAGAGGGAAACCAATACGACATAGACAATGAGACGATTCCGGGTATACTAGAGAGCGAAACAAGAAAAGCAATCATATCAAAGAAAAAAAAGTGGAAGAGCACCAGGAGCCGACAAAATCCCATACGAACTTCTAAAAGGCACATTAGATACTGTACTCCGACCGGTAACCAACTTATTTAATGAGATACTGCACAGTGAAATTATCCCAGAACAATGGACAAGATCTACCATAGTACTAATACACAAAAAGGAGATAGAGACAAAATTGATAATTATTATAGACCTATATGCCTAACGAGCAACATCTACAAACTCATAAGAAATGAGACTATTTTTCCGGATTTAAATCGCGTATATTTGTTTTTTCAAACAAACTGACATTTCGGGCCCTTTACAGGTCCCATGGTCACGGTTGACTGCTTCTTATATTTATTGTATTTTTCCACTACATGTTTAACCACATATATGTGACCTATAGTTGAATAATCTGCTTTACAAAATAGGCGCTTTGTGATTCTATTTAGGATAATTTTGGAAAAGAGTTTGTAGATATCGAGTTCTTAGGTTTTCGCGATTGTTACATATAGGAAATGAAACTATTTTTCCGGATTTAAGTCGCGTATATTTGTTTTTTCAAACAAACAAATATACGGGATTTAAATCCGGAAAAATAGTTTCATTTCCTATGTGTCACAATCGCGAAAACCTAAGAACTCGAAATATAAGAAGCCATAACTATATTTCCTTTTTAGACTATAACAAGGCTTTTGACTCCCTATCTCATTCTCATATATATGAAGTTCTCCAAAATTAAGGTGTTGAACGGAAATATATTAGAATGCTGACCAAAATAAATGTACAGCAAGAGTCCAGTAAGAAAGAATTGGGGTGGGGACGAATTTAATATTCAAAAAGGTGTAAGACCCACTATCACCGAAAATCTTCTCTGCTGTCCTAGAGGCAATTTTCAGACAGTTGAATTGGGACAAAGTAGGACTCAACATAAACTGAAGCCATTTGTCACACGTGAGATTCGCAGACGATAATTGTGTTGTTGGCAGAAGACCCATCTACTTTGCAGGAAATTCTCGAACAGCTAGCAGTAGAAAGCCAAAAAGCAGGGCTAGCAATGAATTTCTCCAAAACTAAGGCTATTACAAATCGACATAAACAACTCTTAATGGTAAGAAATCAAGAAATTGATGTGGATGTGGAATATGTCTATCTAGGACAAATAATATCCTCAAGTTTACAAATGGAGAAGGAACAGTAAGCAACAGTTGGGCACGCTATTGGTCGCTCAAAGAGATACTTAAGAATGAAGTAATCCCAATGTCAGACAAGCGCAAAGTCTTCAACACTTGCATCCTCCCAGTGCTCACATATGGGTGCCAAACATGGGGCTTGACTAAGTCTCTTAGCCAAAGACTAAAGGTGTGCCAGCAAGGGATGGAGAGAAGGATGTTACACATCAAGCTGAGAGACAAATGGAAACTCTTTAGAATTAAAAAGGCAACCAAGGTGACAGATGTCACAACGAAAATCAAAAGACTGAGGTGGCGCTGATGTGGACACACGGTAAAATCAACAAAAGAAAAGTGGTCAAAAGATGTGACACATGGGTATCCAAGAGATGGAGAGGTACAGAGGAAGGTCAACAAAAAGATAGGAAGCCGGATCTGCCCCGAGAATGGCGCCGGTCAGCACAAGACCGTTGCTTATGGAGAAATATGGAGGACAACCTGATTAGAACCATAACCAATGCAGCAGAAATAGGTAAAGTGACAGTACTTCCCTGGATGAACTCTTTCACATGGAGCTCTACTTCTACTCTACTGCTCTAGGCAGAGTGGATGACAGATTCTGCCACCAGTTTTATTAATTATCAATTGTTACATTAAATATTAAATATTTAAGTTTTCATCTGTTTTATTTTTGAATTATTATTATTATTTTATTTTATTTTTCTTTTCTTTCATTCTCTTAAATATTTTGCTCATTAAATAGTTTGTAATGAGGCATATTGTGCTTTAATTTTGCTTTACATCTAATTTTGTATTTTTTTTTACTAATGTAATGTGTGTGTACTGTGCTCTTCTACAGAATAAATTATTCCTATTCTATTTTATTTATATGACTATTAAGAGTCGATGCAACCTCAAATGGCTTTGGATTCTGCATAACAGTGAATGTTGAATCAATCACTTTGGAAAATATATATGTATAGTAAAATTGAGGACGTACACTAATTAGTATATAAGTGAAAAATATGATTCCTAAAAATTTTCATGATAGAAAAATAACACACTTACCTTAACTTTTTACTTTTAACGTTAACTTACTTTACATATACCAATGATTTTTTTATATCAATTGAACACAAATAGTATACGATCATTATACAATATACATTCCTCAAATGGCTTTAATTTCCTTTGTAAAAAAATAAATTCGGAAATAAAGCCAGTGTCCATCCTGCTCGCCCCGCACTTTAGAACCGATTCAGTATGAGAAAAATTGAGGTAGTATCTTCGTCATTAATGCTTAAAAAAAAGAAATTGTAGTCAGTAGCCTCATTTAGTCTCTATCTATGGTATCAGTTCATAAGTACCTAGGAGTAGTTCTGGACAATAGTTGAACTGGAAGATGCACCTGGACAATAAAATTTAAAAAACTGCAGTTGCCTGGCAGTGCCGTTGAATGGTAGGTACACAACAACAATGGGGACTCTCACCCAAGATAACACTACTGTTCTACACAGCGGTGACAAGTCCTATGATTAGTTACGGCGTGATAATATGGTGGCCACGAACCAAACTAACAACTGCAACTGACAAGCTGGCTAAATTCCGAATGCGTGAGGGCAATCCAACTACAGCCCTCGAAGCGATGCTGTACCTGCGGGTCGCAGGTACAGCATCACAGCAGGTACACTCTCACTGTTAATAAGATAAGAAGCGGCGTGAAGCGTATTCATAATAATGACTCAGCTAATAATCTATGGCTTACCCTTTTCTTCCAATCTCTTTTTCTGTTCCTCCCGCCAGATGCGGATCTTCTCTGGCTCTTCTCTCTCTTGTCTGAATACTGAAGTTGGCTCTGACTCGAGTTCTATACCCCCATTGGATTCAAATGTTGAAGCAGGAGGGACTTCTAAGAATAAAAAAATTACTCAGTTATAAATTTTAGAGCCCAATTATATTATATTACGTACCGATTGAGAAGGTAAATAATAATTTTTACACGAAATTTGGAATATTATAATAACAATCAAACAAGTAATACACACCCACAAAGTCGTCTACCATGTCGTTGGTAGAAGAAATAGGGGGCGGAATGGTGGTCTCCAATTCATCCTCTAATCCGGCCAACTGGTTCTGTTCGCGGGCTAGAAACTCCGCTGCTGGGTCCACCTCAGGCTGATTGACAAAACTATCACCGAAACCATCCATTTTTAAAAAAGAAAAATTCTTTTTTTCTCGCCGTGAAACAATTTCCCCAACAAAAAACGTCGATTGGACAAATATGCCACAGACAAAATAGAAACATCAATTAGTCAACAACAACAAAGATTATTTTTTTATTGAGCATTGGCTACTTGGAAAATGACGTAGCCATTTATACATAGTTTTCTTGTCACGCTCACTATAACTAATCGTTTAGACAACGACTATACAATTTGTATAGTGCCATAAAACATTTACCACGGGAAACGCTCTAAGCATTATTTCTCAAACCAAACTTTCTGCCATTTTTTGAGGGGCAGAAAGTCAATGGAGGCGGAATATTTTTTCCATCCTCGAAGGGCGGAAGGGACTATTACAAGCAAGCACTCAAATGCAATAACGAATTGTGTCAATAGGATCTCATACAAACAAAATTCGACAACACTAGCTTACTTTTATGCCACGTTCTCACATTCGTGCGATAGGCGATGCGATACACGACACGTCAATGCGTTATTCGCGTCGCGACTCGCATCGCCACCCGTTACGCGAAGTTCGGCACGAGTGGCGACGCAAAGTACAGTTATTTGCAGTGTTACCACTGTAGCCAGTTTTTAGCACAGATTTATAAGTATGTGGTTTTTAACTATTATATATATATATAGTACAAGTTCTTAATCACTGATAGAAATAGAACGCATACTTCCCGATATGGTGGAAAAAAGATATTTATACCGTTGTACGCGGATAGGCTCCAAGGCAAAGAATCAAATATGAGAAGACTTGAATGTGGAAAATGTAAACGAGTGGTCAACAGCCTGCAAAAACTATAATACATGGGGGGATTTTTGTGCATTTTTATGAGGTACACTCTGGTCATTTTCCGCCGAAAGTAAAAAATGTTCGGAATTCAAATTCAAATTTCAAAGTCCCTATCACGGAAACTATTAGAGATAGGTAGGAGGTGGTCGAAGGAATGTCATAGAGATTAATAGTGGTCAACTGCCTGGGTTAAAAAAAACAAGATGGCGAATTCAAAATGGCGGCCGAAGAAAAACTTGCTTCGATCAGGCTGAAAATTGGTATGCGGGGGTCTTTAGGAGTACTCAACCATAATTTGAGGTCAAAAGTTTATTTTCGCCATTTCTTAATCATATAAGCAATAGTCATATAAGCGTTTCTTTCGTCAAAAGTGGCTGCCGAAACGGACTTGCTCTAAATTGGCTGAAAATTGGCTTGCGGAGGCCTCTAGAAGTATCCGGATCGAAGGAATTTTTTCGGAGTGTTCGATCTTTGTATTAATAATTATAACAAACTAGTGGAGTAATTTCACAACAAATACTTGAATATCAATTCAATAAAAAAAATTTAAAATACAGCGAATAGCGACATCTCTCGCCAGTACTGGTAACTGTAAAGGTACTAACTGGGTGATAAATCTTTCATAGATTTCTCATAGATACGACTAAAATGTCGTTGAAAAAAACCAAATACAAAGACACGACGCAAGCACATAGAAAATTTCGTGAGGTCCGCTGGCTCGTTCCGTGGCTTAGTTGGTATAGCGTCTGGCACGGTAAGCTAGACGACGCCGGTTCGAATCCGGCCGAATATATACATACCCTGTACCCCACCTACGGTGGGCCTGCGGCGCGTGATCGGTTTCAGTTTACGAGGTGTGCTCATGCTCTTCGGTGGCACAGCAGTTAGTTTATGCCAATTTAAGAAACGAACATTCCTAAGTTGGTTTTGGTCTGAGTATTCTAGGTTATCGTTGATTTGGTATTCATAGTACCTACATAGTACAGGAAATTCGGCAGTAGTTTGGCATTTTTTCCCCCTAAATACTTCTCTTTGGCATAGCTTTCAAGAAAATGAAATCTAACATAGAGACGGTTGAGATACAACAACGCTATAATAAGTATCTCATTTCCACTACGTCGGGAAGCATGCTTTACATTTTTACAACTGTGAGATCTTGTACTCGTAATCTACTACGTCTCCGTATATTATCTCCATTTGATGGCGTGCGGACGCTTCGGGCTTCGCCCTCCGCGGATCTCGGCCTCTGGTCTCGGCACTTATGATTTTGTTTTAAAAAAATTGAAATAGCTCTTTAATGGCGGTCATATTTAAAAATTGCAAAAATATATTTTGACTACTAATTATTATCAAACAATCTTAGAAATCATTAATACAAAGATCACTCAGACAAAATTCCTTCGATCCGGCCGGATTCGAACCGACGTCGTCTAGCTTACCGTGCCAGACGCTATACCAACTAAGCCACGGAACGAACCAGCGGACCTCACGAATTTTTCTATGTGCTTGCGTTGTAATATAAAATACTTTGTAAAACTTAATGTAGCGTAAATTAGAATGGTTTCTTCGTAAAATTAAAAATAAGGTATTTAATTAATAACTATTGTAACTATAGTGAAAAAATAGAGTGGTTTGCATCAATATTAGACATAACTGGTTGAAGACTGTACCACCTCAGTCAACCATGACCATGGGACCTGTAAAGGGCCCGAAATGTCGGTTTGTTTGAAAAAACAAATATACGCGATTTAAATCCGGAAAAATAGTTTCATTTCCTATATGTAACCATCGCGAAAACCTAAGAACTCGATATGAATTTTTATTAAGTTCAATTTATTATTAATTAATATTAAATAGAACTTAAAAAGAGGAAGTATCTACTGGATGGGATAGTGTAAGTATTTTTATACAATTGTATATACGTAGGTGTCGCATGCAATGAAATGTAAACGTTTGTTAATTTTCGAATATATGTAATACATTTATAATAATATTAGATATATATAATGTAATATAATATTAGATATTCCAAAAACAAGTACCGACTTTGTGTTTTGTTCAAAAATATGTAGTAAGTAATCATGTCATGGAGTTTTTTTAATATACTTTTATTTCAGAGACAAGTAAACAACCAGTGATAAATATACACTCGGTGTTTTACATATTTGTCCATATCATTTTCGTAAAAAATATTACAAAGCATTTGCTTTTTTTAAATTACGTTTGTGATTTTATCATTGTTATGTAACCACTTTTAAAACTACCAAATTTATTAGATTTTAGTCAGAATCTACTATTGAAATTGAAACCAAATATAATTACCCCATTTGAGTGTTGTCCAAGAATTTAGAATAGCCATCCTTTATTTGTATACATTTTAATGAAAATGCATTGTATAACTATTTACGAAAATGATATGGATACATGCCATGAAATACCAAGAGTATATATTTGCCATTGATTGTAGTTTGTATACTTTTCTCTCAAATAAAAGTACACCTTTAAAAAAACTCGTGTCTTTTGACTCGTGCTCGAAATACCGTTCACGACGCGATCGCACGAGTGGCTATGCTAGTCGCGACGCGAATAGCGAACTAAACGTTTACACGTGTGTGTCGTGTATCGCATCGCTATTCGCATCGCCACTCGCACGAACGTGAGAACGCGTTTCTACCATTCAACAGAATGTTTCGTCGATGTTTCGACGAAACATTCGTGTATAGCCAGCACGATAGTGTAAACGAGGTATCACAAATTCATAGTTACACACTAACACACATTCACAGATTTTTTTTTATCTTTATAGATGTTCATGTAGAGATGAAACGGATATCCGGTAACTATCCGGTATTCGGCCTATTTTTACTATCCGGTCGGATACCAGGTATTAGAACAAACTCCGGCCGGATACCGATTGTTTAAAATAAAAAAAATCATAATCAGTACGCCAAATTAATTGATTTATTGATTAAAGGTGATAGTAATAGGATAAACAGCAACTGCACGATTGTTGACGATCTGTTTATTACTTGTAATATCTCTTATTAGTTTGTGCTTGTAACTAAAAGAACTACGAAGTTAAATAACGTTATCTGTAAATGTGGCACTCAAATTTCAATAAAGACAAATTATGGTGGACGAAGTTTTTCTCTATCAGGAGTCTATACTACCTCTATAAATAAATATCCACTGTTTTTGTACGACATCTACTGTTCTACTGTTCTCATTTTCTTCTAATTTTTAGATTTTTCACTTTTCACAACTATTCTTGTCGGCTTTTTAGATTTCGTGAATCGTGTTTTCCATTTACGACGTCGTACTTTTTGTTTTTGGAACGAAAGTGTAGAGCACATTATATAAAAAATGTTGTAAACTGTTCTTATTGGATAAAATTGGTAGCTTATGCATTCCACTGAATGAAGTTTTTTTAGGTGGTCCATAAATGTATCTACTAAAAATCTTTTACATGCATGCATTTAGCATTAACGTGATCTCAACTGCGACTCTCTAAACATATTGAACATTTGTCGGAGTTTTTGCAAAACTTTACAATGAGGTCAAATCATAGAACATCGTCCTTTAATTATTTTTTTTGGTATTTCGGCTATATATTGGTCAATCACAGGTTTAGAAAATGCGGGGAAGTAACATTTATGGTAATAGTATCCAAACACAATTTTTATTGTCAGATATCAATACCTTATAGAAAGATAAATAGAAAGATAACATCAAAAACATTAGGTGACAATGTTTGAAGAAAATCGATTAATAGTGTTTCGAACACCGTAAGTTCAGCATCTACTGTTTTTTCCCCAATCTACTGCTTTTTCTGTGCAATATCTTCCGACTTTTTCAGATTTGACCTAGCAACACAGTACACTGAATACTATGAGGTGTATAATGTAAACACGATTTCTAAAAATTTTACAAAAGTACTCTACTTTTTACAAGAAAACCGCTGTATTCAATAGGTACTTTACATTACCGATGATTCTTTTACATCAACTTCGACCTTAATAGAACACATATACTGTACGATATACATTTTTCAAATAGCATTAATTTTGTTTATAAAAAAAATTATTCTGAAATAAAGCCAATGTTCCTGCCGTCCTAACCAAGCAAAATAAACCGTATTATAAATTTGAATATGAGCTGAGGTAGTATAGACTCTTATAAGTGGTAAGTGGTTCTATTTATTTTCATAAATGAGACTTTAAGTACCTACTACTTGTTATTGCCAGACGACCAAATGACAGTCTTCAAATACAATTAGTACCTACAATATAACGAAACGTGTAATTAGATTCAATTATTTTTTTGGCTAACTTGGTATCAAGGCTTAGAATTAGTTAGATTACACACAAATTAATGAAATCAAATTGAAACAAAATAATACTAAACGGGCATGTCAAGTGCTAGGCTTATACCACAGAACATTATTACCCTAAAGGGAAGAACGATAACTTCATACATACTATAAAAATGCATACTTAGAAGCACATTAGCGCTGCCGTGTCTGCCATTAGTAACTTTTGATATTAGGCCTATACTCATAACAAGTATCCTAATCTATCATATAGACATTTTAATATAGCCAAAAAATTATGTAATTGGTTCCATCTCCACCGCAATAAATTTGCATTCGGCACAACAAACAAACAACATTGATATTAATATATTGCCAAATTAGCGATTTTTTTTCATTGTTAACATTTTTCTGTTATGTGTTTGTTTGTATTCGAATAAAATGATCGGTTTTTATAAAAACCAAGTGACCACAACAAATCAAATCGAATCGTAATTTTCAAATAAGAAAAGGCGATTTTTGTCGTATGAGGAAACCAAGGCTAAAGCGCTAAACAGAGATGATTTCAGATTACTCCACCGACAAGAGCCTAGCTCATAAAGAAAAGAAGAAGAATAAAATGTCTGGGGAATTACAAAGTTGAGTCGGGAATGGAGTTCTATATTGAGAAAAAGAACAATTTCATTCAAACAACTCCTTTAGGGTTTGAGTACATTCAGTATTTCTACATGTGGGGAATAGGAACTCTGCTGTTCTTGATTTTTAGGAATTTTAAATAAATAATACTGGCTATCTAGTAGCGGCTACTTGATGCACTTAAATTGGCGAATCGAACGTCTGTGTATGCCTGTAGAAACAAAATAGCGAACTTTTGAAGTTAGTGATACAGTTTTACAAAGATTAATTTTATTTTAAATTTTAAGTATATTATGAAGAAAATACGAACAAAGAAATAGTGATGAAGAAAGTTAGAACTATATTCCTTGTTTTAAACTATTTTTAAAAAAATACGAATTTCCAATAATTACGAATTCAAAATTAAAACGCGAAATTATATGAATCTCGAACTAAAATACCCGTATCGGCCCGTTCTAAGGAATCCCGAGTCCATCCAAGAACACCGCCTCAAATTGCCTATCCCCTTTGTGGCGGCCACATTTACAGAAACATAATTATTTTTGTTTTCGGCGGAAGGACTTTGTTTCCATGGCCAGTAATAAATTATTTAAAAAAAACCAAGAAACCGATGCTCGGCTGAAGGACTTTGTTTCCATGGCCAGCAATAAATTAAAAAAAAAAACCAAGGAACCGAATTAACCACAAATGTGATGAAATGTCCCTTTCTGTGAAGTTCAGTTAACAAAGTTCTCTGAGTTTTCCTTAATTCTGCGACAAAATTATAGCATTGCATATATTATGAATTTACGTGTGAAAGTAAAATTACTGCGACCGCGACTACTAAGCAACGTATTTCGTTTCGCATCAACAACTCCAGAAATTGTGGAGCGAAATGAACAAGTTTTAATTGACGATACTGATGCTGCTCAGGTCAGGGAAGCAGAAATTGAAAGGAAAAGGAACATATCTCGCTTGACGCAAGCCCATTTTAATATCATAAATGGCCGGATGCCGTATGATGAGCCGAAATGTTTGGCACATCTAACTGTAAAATATCATAGGAAAATGTATGGGAAATATGGCGCTCAAAGTGGTGTGGATCCTAGTAAGTAATAATCGTACATATAAGGTGTTTTGTATTCACAGAATCTATCAGTAGTGTAAAATTTCGGCCCTTGCAAATTTCATAAATTGTTTTTGATGCATGTTATAGTCGATAAGACCTCTTTATTCTTACAGTTTTCCTCTACGGGCGATAGTTATTGAGAATATTTACTGTGAGAATATATTATTATACGGCTGGCACGCACCAGATTATTATACACAGCCTCTTTTCTGGCGCGGGAGGGTTCGTTGGTTTAGCATGTTGTTTCCCTCCTCACCAACTTTTCAACAACAAGTTCAATTACAATTATGCGCCCACCATACGCAAGTTGTATAAAAGTTTAGTTGCGGACACCAGCCCTGGTACACCATACTATATAATTTTTTTATTTTATGCCCTATTATATAGTGCTCTTTGGTTCAATCAGTTCTATCCAACCCATAATTGTTGTTTATAGAAATGCAATAACAATGTTGACTCTTTAATAATACTACTACACCAATATTATATAACCATTATCATATTTCAGGTCTCTGCTGGCCCACCAAACAGGATATTGAAGACAGAAAGGAATATGAATCAGTAGCATTTCCCTACACAATCCAGCAGATGATGGAGACTGCGGCACAGAATAGGAAAGAAGCACAACAGAAGATAGAACAGAGAGAGAAAGAAGTAGAGGCAAAGTTTGTCAAGCTGGAACAGTGGAAAAAGGAACTAAATGATAAGATTGAGAAGAAAGCTAGAGACATACAAGCTGCTAAGGTAAAGTTTATTTTACAGATTGCAGCAAAAGGGTGTCATAAATGAAAAGATAGTGGCCCTGTCTTTCCAGTCTATAAAATATGGATTACAATTGATATAGAAAATTTAAATTTCAATTCAGATCAGTTAGATTAAATTATAGGAAGGTATACTAATTTATTTATTGTATGGACAATGTCACACCAGATTACACATTTTTGTTCAAAAATTGCCTCCAGTGCAATGGAACAAGATACGTCAATGTGTAGCTTGATGCGCTGGCTGGCTGGATGTGTACATAAAAAATAGAAACGTGTTACATGGCATGGATTACGACTAAACAGGTTTTGTACAACAGAGTCTTGAAGAAGAGGCGATACTACATCCAAATTAGGTTGCTTTCCATCAAGTGCGATGGAGGTCAAATTTGCACTTATCTAGTTACAAAAACAAAGAAAATGTGGTAACCTGTGTCTCAGGGTGTTAGAGTTTATTGACATACAATGTCAAGCAAAAGCGGTTCAGACAGTGTAAGAATAAGCTACATTGTAAATACTGTCTAGTTTCATTTTCGAATTTGCAATTTATATTTATTCACATTTATATATCTTTCCTTTGTACTAATATTTTTTTATGTCTTAAGACGACTACTTAACAGTGTAGATATTTTTTATACCTTTGTTCTCACTATGTCTATTGAGTAGTTTTATTATAGAACTATTTATATGATTTTTTTATTGATGATGACATTTTTAAATTTTTATTGAATTGATATTCAATTTTTTTTATGTGAAAGTACTCTGTGATTATTAATACAAAGATCAAACACTCAGAAAAACAAATCCTTCGATCCTGTTGGATTCAAACCGACGTCTTCTAGCATACCGTGCCAGATGCTATACCAACTAAGCCACGGAACGAGCCAGTGGACCTCACGAATTTTTCAATATACTTGCTCTACTTTTGTATTTGGTTTTTCATCGAAGGAGTTTTTCTAAGTATTAGTATTATCTTTGTATTAATATCTGGGGCAGTATTACATATAAGAACTGTTTTACTATTTCACTTTATGTGTATTTAAAATACCTCTGCCATTTGACAAATCGCCACCGACTAAAATACATGTTGTTTTTTCTTTATACTAAACATGTGAGAGCAGTTGATATTCATTGACAGATTTTGTGAAGTGTGCTTTATACTTAGTGTAACGGGTTCGTGTCCGTAACTCGACGTCAAGGCGCCTATTTTGCGTGTGGTGGGAGTAGGATCCTCCTTGTGCCACCCGAGCTCCTCCAGAAATCTGAGCAGCCTCCTCGGTTTGCTGAAGACTTCGGGAGCGACCTTGGCACTCCAATGTACTGCGCCCTGTAGTTGGCCACGCCGGAGCACTGTAGTAGGATGTGCGCAGCCTTTTCTTCCTTCTCCATGCACGCTCTGCATAGAGGGCTGTCTGTGATACCTAAATTGAAAAGGTGTCTATTGTATGGACCATGACCCGTTAGGGCGGCAGTTAGAGTGCGAAGCTCTTGCCTTTTGAGTTTAATTAATATTCGAGATAGACTGGCGTTGAGCGTTGGGAGTGCTTCCCCGCCTACAAACCGAAAGGGTGGTTGGTCCATGTGTTATTATGTGAAAATTTTGTACCTTTGTGTATAATTGTTCTGGACCATTGGTAGGGGAGGGACACTGGGCTCTGGGCCTACAGCGTCCGTCTCCGACCCTTTTCTGGTTAGTTCATCTGCTTTATTAAGGACCATTGCGAAATAGTGTTGTTTGCTGATGACACATCCTTGATTTTTAAAACAGACAGACATGACATTAACTATGACCATATTAATGATACCCACTCTAAGATACTTTATTGGTTTAATGCTAACAATTTATTGCTTAATGCCAAGAAGACAAAATGTGTTAAAATTAATTAATTACCTAACGTAAAATCGACTAGTCCAAGCACAGAAATAAACGGAGAAAAGTTAGACCTTGTTAATAAAGTAGTCTTCTTGGGAATGACCTTAGATAGTAAACTTCAATGGTTTCCACATATATCTTCCCTGGCCAGCAGATTAAGCTCCGCTGCATACGCAGTCCACAGAATACGTGAGCTTACCGATATTAGTACTGCTACACTAGTTTACTTTAGTTACTTCCGTAGTATAATGTATTACGGGATTCTCATGTGGGGTAAAGCGGCAGATATTCAAACCATATTTGTATTGCAAAAACGAGCGATTCGTTCTGTGTACCGTCTAGGCTCTCGGGTTTCTCTCAGAAAAAAGTTTAAGGAGACTGGTATCATGACTGTGGCATCACAGTACATTTACTCAAATATTTTATATGCCCGTAAAAATATACATAATTTCAATAAGAAAGAAGATATCCATAATATTAACCTTAGAGCTAAGTCCAAACTCATGGTACCACGATTTCGTTTAACCAAGGTAAACAACTCTTTAATGGGGAACTGTATTCGTTTTTACAATAAGATTCCGGAGCATATATTAAGTTTATCATTTCTTTAAGTTAAAAAGTTTCAAAACTACTTTAAAAATATTTTGATCGAAAAATCATATTACAAAATTGAAGACTACGTGTTAGATAAAGATGTATGGAAAGACGACACGGCTCCAGAATCCACACAAATTTGATTCAAAGTGTATTCCATAGCATTTAAGTTTATTTGAAAAGAGCAATCCCTAGAGTTTCTTGCTCGTTCTTCTCAGGGAGGTTAGCGTAGTGAACGAGCAGTAGCTTAAATGTGACGTTTTCAAGTGTAAATTTATTTTACATAAGGAATAAATAATCTTTGACTTTGCGTCATTACCACGTGAGCCGCTGTGTCCTTTAATCCACTGTACAGTTACGCGGTTCTGTATACGTAAGTATATAGCTCCATGAGAGCTTGATCGCGTTAAAAGAACCCTGAGTTTGTCGTAGCTGTTCAGTGCTTGAAATGCTGTCGGAGAGTTTTCGAATGGAGCGATTCTTTACTCTTCTCGCTATGATTGCTTAGGCTGCCAACTTGATTCCCATATATTCAGCCTGAAATACTGTGTTGTGGTCACCAAGCAGTGTTGATATCCTGATATTGAGGTTTTCTGAGAATACAGTACAGTACCTGTTCCTGAATTTGTTTATGATCCATCAGTGAAGACGCGGACCTCTCTGGGGTTCAGTCCTTCGTTGGGATCTTCAAACAATTGTATCGTGTATTTTTTTGTCAAAAATGTATTGTTGGGATCCTATCCACAGTCGCCTCCAGTAGCGGTTCCTTTGTAACAGTTTTGTAAAGGATTTCTGTATGTGAGATCCTCATGTGCTTCCAAAGGCCTGCTCCGTATAGACGCAATGCTAATGACACCGCTTCCTGTCTGATCGACCGTGGGTGGGGTCGAAGGTCCAGCATCGCTTCCAGGGCCGCAGTTGGAGTTGCCAGTTGAGTCATCGCCACGCAGGCTAGCCTTTGAAATTTGTCCAGCTTATCGGCTACGGTCGTCAGATTGGTTCTGTCGCCCCGTAACTGATCATGGGTCTTATCACCGCTGTGTAGAGCCATAGTTGTTATCTTGGATGAAAGTCTCCATTCTTTACCTACCATTCTATGGCACTGCAGAAGGTGATGGTAGCTTTTTTAATTTTGTTGTCCAGATGCTTGTTCCAGTTCAACTTGTTGTCCAGTATTACTCCCAGGTACTTGAATTCGGTTGATAACTGTAGTTCTGTACTGAAGAGTTTGGGTTGTAGGTAGTTACCCAGTTGTCTTTTGTTTGTAAACATTACTATAAGTTCTGTCTTTGTTGGACTTACCGATAGTTCATATACTCTGCACCGGTTTTCCACAATCCGGAGTGCTGCCTGTGTAATGTCGCAGAGGGTATTGGCATATTTCCTGTTATTAGTATAGTTATGTCATCAGCATAGCCTACTGTATAGAAATGTTCTTTGTTCAGTTTGGTGATGAGATCATTTACGACCATGTTCCATAGCAGGGGCGACAGTACTCCTCCTTGAAGACACCCTTTTGCTACTACGGCCCATGGAGTCTCATTTGCTGTTGTTCTTATTGTTCTTAATTTAAGCACGTTGCTAATTCAACTGTCTTCTAGTGCTGATTGTACACTGGAGAAATTGGTTTTATCGAAGCAGATTGCTTTGTTTTTGAGGGCTTCTTCTATCTTGTCAACAACGGCATGCAGGGCCGATTCAGTGGACTTGCCTTGGCTGTATGCATGTTGATTTCCGTGTAATGGTATGTTCTTTAGGTAGATGTGTTGCAGTTCATTTTTTCGCATCTGTCATCTTGGACGAACCTGCATCCTGGGAAATGTGCTTCCAGTAGGGTTTTCTCCGTTTCCGCAGGGGAAGTTGTGAATGTGTTGTCTATTTTGCGCATTGAACCTAGCTCAGTTGAATTTGTGTTGGCTAGGATTTTTCTTGTTCTATTTGTTTAAGCACAACACGTGATGTTCCCGCAGTAGCTTCGCTATGATGAGGTGCTCCTGAACCACATGCACTTTTTTAGTTTGGATTTGGCCGTCTTGTAGTTTTTCCAGCCCTCATCCGCGCATGTGTTCATTGCTTGTGCAGTGTATGTACAAAACATGAGGGATGGAATGGTGCAAAAATGGGTTAGAGCTAAAGATGACCCCCAGAAATCTCATGAAGAGGAATGGCCAGTCGAATTCAAGATCTCATTGCATCAGTTGGCTGTGCTACCTCCTGATGGGCGTACGAAGCTCCATACTGGGAAGGCACAGGCCACAACCAGAGGACATAAAATCTGTCAGAGCCAGGAAAGACCGTCAGTTCTTTAATGCTGTCGGCCTTGGCTCTGAACTGTAATTAGTGGCGATCACTTGATGATCAGTTGATGGTCACAGTGATGAGGGGCTAACCTAGAAGCACCCTAATAATATATATTTTTTATTTATGATCAGTTTACAAAGACCCATACATACCTTATATACTAACTTACATAATAAACATACCGCGATGTATGACGCATTGTGGTTGTCCGATAACCGTCCTCGGAAACGTCGTTACATGACACCCTTCGGTCAAAAGTCCGCCTTCATTAGGGTCGATAGATTTTGAGTTGGGACTCTCACCACAAATAAATTAAAATTCATATTGTGGCGTGACTCCTGCTCGACCCTCAGGGCATCATTGGCTTTCACCAGTTTCACCACAATATCCACAGATTTTGTGGAGTAAAGAAGTCGTGCCACGTATAGAAACGTTGCCACGTATAGAAACGTGTCGTCGGTACCGTTGGACGTAATATATGATTGGGGCCAGCCGACTACCGCCTCGAGGCGGTGCCACTAAGATTACGTCTGGTGTAATTCTTTTTCTTTTCCACCTTTTTGAAACCGTCCTCGTCGCACTGATCTACTTATCTCGGTGGTACTGACACAGCACAGCTCCAGAAGTAAGTCTCTGTTTCTTCTTCCCCACTTTGCTTGCCTGAGGTGTGGTTGAGGAACAATGAGTTGGGTAGCAGCGGTAATAGCAGCGTAAGCACGTCGAAGGGTTAACGTGCTTAAGCGTGGCGGAAAAACGCGGATAATAATAATAACTACCTATTGTATTATAAATCCATTACAATTTATATATTATGTTATGAATTTCTTTTAAAATGTATATAGAAATATCACAAATAACATAGCAATAAAATTTCATTTTCAGGAAAAGAAAGAGCGTCTAGTAGAAGAAGTACGTCGACACTTTGGCTTCAAACTGGATCCACGTGATGAAAGGTTTCAAGAAATGTTAGCAAAGCGAGAGAAAGAACAGAAAAAGGCTGAGAAACAAGCCCGAAGAGATGCCAAAGAGAAGATGATTATTGGCAAGTTACAGCAGAAAAGTGTCGAAATGAGTGACGGAAAGAGCTAGGTCTGTACCTTCGTCATATTTTGTTGTTGTAATAAAAAAACAGAAATTGTACCTTAGTTTAATTTTATGGTTGTTATGAAATAAACATGTAAAAATAAGTATTTATTTTTATTGGGAATATTGGTTGGGATGGTTGGGATGGATGAAATGGTACGGTACCCAAACATTGTGAGGTCAAAATAATTTCAGGTAGCAAATTAATACATTTTATGTTACACACTCCACTTTAATATTAATTGCAAATATTTGTCTTGGGACACATGATTTCTGAATAGATCAAACATTTTGATCTCTGGCATATCGACTAAAGTTATAGACTCTATATCTAATTTCCCCACATTTAGCTGATGCATTCAATAGGTGCGTTGACGAAGGTATTTTTTCCGATTTGATGAAATACAGCAGTAATTCCTTTATTCAAGTGCGGTAGGAAAGTTGATCCTAGCAACTACAGTCCTATTTCAATTCTACCAGCTTATTCTAAAACTACTAAAAGGTTAAATTGACTCAATTACTGTCCTATTTCGGAAGGAATCACATTTTTCATAGTGAACAATATGGTTTTACTAGTGGTAGATTGCGGTACTAAAACATATATTTGACGAGAACGCTATTAGGTTTTTATGTGACCTCTCAAAGGCATTTGATTGTGTGGACCATATTACTCTTGTTAGGAAACTGGAATATAACGGAGTAAATGGCAAGGCTTTGGAACTTGTCTCGAACGGTAGAATTCAGAAAGTAGTCAAATGAAGTGACTTCTTCGTGTTCTCCAGTAAAAATGGGTGTCCACAAGGCTCAAAACTTAGACCTATCATTAATATTAATGATCTATAATTCTTGTTTAAGAACATTTGCGAAATAATATTGTTTGCTGACACATTCTTGATTTTTAAAACAGATAGACACATAGATTTAGTATATCGGTACCTATATACTAAATCTATGGATAGACATGACTTTAACTATGACAATATTAACTAAACCCTCTCAAAGGTAGTGCTGACAATTTATTGCTCAATGCCAAGAAGACAAAGTGTGTTAAATCCATAGATATAGGAAAACAGGGGAGATATGTAACGACGCTATGTAAGATTTTTTTAGCTTGTGTGTAATTCAAACTTCACGCTCTATTATCTACTACCATATCTTAAAGATTTTGATTGGATAGGGCTTAAAACGTGAAAACGACGGAACACAATTTTAAAATTTAACAAAATTAAAGTTATAGTCCCTTGAATAAGAGTTATATTACAATATTTCAGTATTTTTCATCCTGGTTCAGCCCTTCACCATCAGATGGCGTTTTAGTAAAAATGCTACTAGTATATAATAGCTAACTATTACACGTTAGATGGCGCTGAAACTCATTTTTCGTTACACTAAGAACTCACGGAGCGGTTGTCACCCGTGTCTGCCGCGGGATCGCGGCATCTGTAGAATGTAATAGTTAAGTAGGTATGTAAAATTAGTAGCGTTTCACGGCGCGTTTTACGCCTGTAGTGATGACGGTCGCTCGCGGTTGTCGCGGCGGGGTGCTAGTAGAACCGCGCAGGACGCGATCACCTGCGCGCTTGGCGGCCGTCGTCGCCCGCGCACTTTGGCGGTCGGTTCAGGCGCAATGTGGTACAGGCGCACGCGGGGCGAGTTCTCTATTAACCGTACTACTTGAAACCGCTCCGTGAATGGTTAACCTTATTAACCTTAAACTGACGCTACTCAATGAAGGGTGTGGTCCTACCTAATCGATAGTTAGAAACCAAGTGGTTGTTTTTAATATTAAAAAAATATTCCATTTTTCATACTATACCTACACTGGTAGTGGTGTATTATTAAATTAATATAAATTATTATTATTTTCCTAATAGCAGCCACTAGGCTTGGGCCAGTGTCAGTTTTGGTGGGGTACAACGAATTGAGCGTTAGGAGGGAATTTGCACTAGCCCGGTATATTTTATCAATATTGAATGCAAAAATATACAACCCGGAGTTACTAGCCACTATAAATTTTTGTGTCCCAGATAATTACGTTGGGAGACGTCGTAGGCCCCGTTTGCTGGCCGTGCCGACGGCTAGAACTGACCTTATTAAAAAATCGGCGATGTCCAGGACACTGCATACACTAAATGTAGTAGCGGAAATGATTGACCTTTTCTCATGTTCTTTGAGTGAATTCACTAGGTTAACTGTTTATATTATATGTTATAAAAAGAAGTAGATGTAATTTATTATTATTCTGTGTATATTAAATAAATAAAAAATGTGCTACTTTATCGTAAGGAATGTATCCTGTAATGATAAATGTATTGTGTCTAATAAATAAATAAATAAATAAATTTTATAAGAATAATATAAAAAATATGGCGATCGTCGCCAGTGTCAGTTTTTAGTAGGATGGTGAAGCTGTCACTGTCAATAGTAAACTCGAACTATCAAAGAATTTAATAAATTAAATTATGTTGTTTTTTTATGAAGGATTTACGTAATTTTCTATAATTGTTTCTAATTTGCATGCGTATGTAAAATAAAGCCGATTTTATTTTATTTATTTTTTTAATGCATTTGCTATGGATCTTTCAATTTTCCTGCAGCTTCAATCCAACCTTCTTTTATTTTGAACTCATTGGAAAAACTTAAAAATTCAAAATATGTAATGGAATTGAAATATCTAAGTTATCTAAAACAATAATACACATACATTTTTCTTCAAGCAACAGCAACAAACAAATTGACATGAAATTGAAACGGTTGTCCAAAATACGAGTTGTGTTAAAGTTACTCGAAATAAAATGTTTAGTAATAATAATAATAATAAAATTAAAAATAATCGATTTAACGTGAATGCTTTTCGATTCAATATTTTAGGGACTTTAATTACTAAAATCATAGTAAGAAATTCAAACATTTCAGGAAAAAATTATGATCGATAAACATCAGTCATCCTAAATGAACATACCTACTATATTTGACTAGAAATTTCTATGGAGACAAAAGAAAACATTGAATTAGGATAGAAATAGTAACTAAAAACGCAAACAGCCGGTGGATTGTTACCTCTCTGGTTTTAAAATTTTTGATTTCACTCCAATTTTTACAAGGTGTATCGCTACAACTTGGCATATTCACGTTTTACAAGAGATCTTGTATGTACGACGATCGCCATGTCACTGTTGTAGGCGTGTCACCTCGATATGATCATTTTTTTAATCATATCGAAGCGACACGAACCACGCCTCCATACCAAATCTCCCCCTTTTATTATATCTATAGTTAAATCTGAATCACCTAATGTAAAATCGACTAGTCCAATCATATAAATAAATGGAGAAAAGTTAGACCTTGTTAATAAAGCTGTCTTTTTGGGAATAACCTTAGATAATAAACTTCAATGGTTTCCACATATATATCCTTAGCTAGTAGATTAGGGTTTACTGCATACGCAGTCCGTAGAATACGTGAGCTTAACGATGTTGCTACTGGCGCTATGGCGCTACGACTAAAAAGTCGTTGAAAAACCAAATACAAAGACAGGACAAAAAGCACATAGAAAAATTCGTGAGGCCCGCTGCACGCTGGTTCGTTCCGTGTCTTAGTTGGTATAGCCTCTGGCACGGTATGCTAGAGGACGTCGGCGTCGCGTCGGTACGAATAAGGCTGGATCGAAGAATTTTTTCTGAGTGTTCGATCTTTGTATTAATAATTATAATAAATTCATTTCGGACCATTTATAGTATTTTTTTCTTATTCATTCTGGAAACTTAAAGTGCGCCTCACGTATAAGCTAGCTAAATGATTGCTAAATATAATTTACCTTTTGGGATTAAAGTTGCGTATAATTAATTAAATTGACCAATTAACACACATTATAGCGTCTTCCATAGCTTGTCGCACCAGGTGAAAACGAACAAATCATTTAAGATAGATTCCAGATATTGATACCAAACAAATAATAGAGAGTTTTTTTTAACAGCCAATAAAAACTTACTTATTATGTTTTCATCATAGCCGGAATCCAGCAGCTTGATTTTGATTGCCTCTCCTTCGTGCTGATTTTGATTCAAATCGGAATCGATCCGATCGGGTAGTCTCGAAATCAGATTGGTTTCTGAGCGAGAAGGTGAACCTGATTCCTACTATATCTTTTTAATTTGTGAGTTAAATCAACTATTGTTTAGACTAGATTTGTCAAAAGTTTTCGATCGGCCAGCTGTGTTTCGCAATTATGCGCCTCGACTCGGAAAAGACGTAGTTTCCGATCGGGAGAGGCAATCAAAATCAAGCTGCCGATCGAAAACTGCGTCTTTTCCGGAGAGGAATCGGGTTCATCTACTCGCTCAGAAACCCATCTGATTTCGAGACTACCCGATCTGATCGCTTCCGTTTTGAATCAAAATCAGGACTCTGGTAAGGGCTACCCATAAACTACGTACAAAACTGAAAGGGCTGCCTGGCGCATCACGATAATGACGAGCCGTCACCTGGTGCACGCGCAAGTTAGTTTCAAGAGACGAAAGAAGACGCCACTATCGGAGGAAATGGAAATGCTAACTAAACGGGTAAAAAGACCGGCGCATGACTCAAGATGGATTCCGGATATTGATGAAAAAATAAACAGGTAAGTTTTATAGATTGTTAAAACACTCTTATTTTTCTTATTTATTTATGATCAGATTAAAAATCAAATTTTATACACATTAAAAGAAAATCTTGACACACAACACTTTTGTTCATAAAAATAAAACTCGTCTAAAGTCAAGAGCTGTCTTCATCCGTCGAGGAGTAAAGCGCCTCACGTGGGTTGAACCTGGGGCTCGAAAAAGAAGCGAGAGGGTTTAATCCCACCGCTCCCATACCTGTCAGGGGCAGGCGCTCCACTGGGGTGCACACTAAAGTGTCCGATGAGTCGCTCACCATGCTACTGCATGGACTTATCTTCTCGTATGTATTTTTCTGTCGAAAATGTAAATGTTTACATGTACCTATTTAACACATCAATTATTATTATACCTACATATAGCTCTCCCGAACTTACCTTCTTGATCTTAGTTTTTGCTGCCAATAAATCTCCTACCATACATTGTTCGTCGCCGTGAGCGTTTTTCATATCGCCCATATGTTTTTCTATCATCTCTGGCTTCTAAAATAAAACATTTATTTATAAATATGGCTTGACACAGACGGATGTATACAGAGACGGAATGCGTATTACGAATTCAAGGTGACAGCGAGGCGTCCTGAACTCCTGAATTCCGAGAAAATGCAATTTCTCAATCATTTCAGTTGTCACACTTATAACATACTTATAAAATATAAGTGTAGTAAGCACACTCGCCTGGTAGATATCCCAATTGTTGTCCACAGGCCGGTGCACAAGACTGGACAGTGAGATGTGTGTCGAAAACAGCCGTAATTAAGATAATGAACTCAGTCTTTGAATTTAGATTATATTGTTATGAGCAATACAATTTTAATCAAAGACCGCGAACAAAACATCCGTCAATTACTTGGTCTCAAAAGGAAATTTTCCCGTCCCTGTGCCATTTATGAAACATTTATGTACGGAACAGAATTACCTAATTAGAGTTGTACTTGCTTCCAGCAAACTAGCTTTAGAATTTTAACTTACTTTGGTGCAGCCAACTCGAATCTACATAGATCCTTTTATTCATGTTCTTCTGGTCAAAGATACTCACCACTCCCATGCTGTCCCAAAGCACGTCTCCAAGCATGTGCGCGGATTTGGTAGTCTTGTTCATCTTCACATCTATTAGTTTCAAGTGCTGGCTGTGAGCCTTCTTCGGTATTATGTTGATACGCAATTCGGGTTCCTGGTCCTCTAGGTTATTCACTTCTTTCTCAGTTTCTGGTTGCTGGTTTGAGTCCTTAGTGTGTTCATAAAGGCTTTTTCTGGAAAATAACAAAAATAGTGATTAAATACCTAGCTAATTACATACAGGATTTATTGACACAATTCAATTTTTTCTATGACGAATTTTTTTATGAATTAATCTCGTAGAGACCTTGAAACGACACCTTTCCCGTATTTATCACTTTTTTATTGTAATATGCGTAAAGATCTTCAGTACTGTAATTTTAATTTTAATAGTTTATTTCAAGTTAATCTCACCCGTGATCACACTGATTGTTTTTTATAAACGCATAAATGTCTTTAAACGCCTGTTGGATGTACGAAAGCGTGTTCTGATCGATGGGTACAGAATTCAAGGATCCTGAACTACTTGATAGATCGATTGATCGCGAACTTTCTTGGAACGATTGCTCTGAACCTGAAATTAAAAAAAATATTTCATAGATTATATCGGTGTTTTCTTGCTTAGAAAACAATTATATTGCGAGCTCCGCTAAATAGCACAGCATAGCGCACCAGAGACAGAAAAGTCAACTAATTATATTAAATAGTCGTAGAATACCTGATGAAGTGGCCCAAAGACGTATCTGCTGCTGCTTCAGCTGTTTCATCTGGTCGACTAATTGCAGGTTCAGCTCTTCAAGCTGCTGCCTATGTGATATCTCCTCTTGAAGTTGTTCTTCCAGCGTTTCTGCATATTCCCTAGAAAATTCATACAATTTATTTTTGGATTTAACTTCCTCAAGGAGGGAAGTATAAATATATTGTGTCAATAAATCTTGTACAGGCTTTATTTTCGATTAGCTAGGTATTTAATCACTACCTTTGTTATTTTGGAGGGAGGCCTTTGCTCTGCAGTGGGACAGTATAGGCACATAATAATAATAATAATTTAACTTCCTCTGTGGCCGAACGGTTACCATACTGGTCTGCCACGCAGAGGACACTGGTTCGATTCTCGACCTACATTTATTTCTTACGTGAGAGTCTGGGTATAATTTGTGGTCGTCTATGTGTGTCCATGGCAACATGCATGGCACGGCGATACGGGGTTTCCCTAGTGCGGGGCTAAGAGTGTGCATTAAAAAAAAATTATATGCAATGGCCACATAACACGTAATATTTACGAAGGTACGTAGGAATGAATTCATAGGTAGTAGTAGGTATGTGAGATCAGATCAGATTATCGAATTTGAAATATTTCCATGAAGTACCGATTTAGTAGTTTAAAGACTCCAAACGAGTAAAAAATGACCTTATGCCATAATATTGTGTCTCAGAAGACCTCTTTAATCCTGAAATTATTACGATTGTCAGTACCAGCAAATACTTACTTCTCTTTTTTGGCTGTAGTCGATTTACTAGCAGTATATTTATTAATTAGTGCAGTTCGCGTATTAGACGACATCCTGTCTTTAGATAGTCCGTTCCTGGAACGCATATAGAAAAAACAGCATTATCAGTGTATATTTACGAGTACCTACATTGTAAATGATTGAAATAAGTACCTATTAGGTATTCATTTCAACTACGTAATTTTTGTGTGTATGTGTAGGTACTGTAGGCATGCATTAATTTAGTGCTCGTACTAGTTCTCTATTTTGTTACTACAAGTTATACCTTAACTATCAATTTATATCATAGATATTATGGATTGTAAAAATGGCAATTAATATGGCAATTGTGATGAATTTACTAACTTTGGCGCAGTAGATTTTATTGATCTGCCATCTGTAGGACTTGTACCAATGATTTGAAGCCATGAATACTGAAACAGATGTGGGATTAGGGAATTAGTTATTATCATCATCATGCCCTTATCCCATTGTTTGAGACCGCATCTTTTTTGTGGGAACTTGTTCAATAAACAAAATAAAAATTACGTAGCTTTTTTAAATGATTCAATAAATAAAAAAAATTATGACGTCTCAAACTTCTCCCAAAAATATAGAATTTGGATGAAAAAACTGAATTGGTAGGCAATTTACCAAATAAGTATCGGCCTGTTGACCAAACCAACTTATTGTTTTGTGTCAGTACTTTTCCGCACTTTGCTGCAAATCCTCTGCATTAATTAAACACATATGTTAAGACTGTACTTACTTGCACTCCCAAACCACCTCTTTCGTGTTCCCTCAAAGTCGCGCGTACTTTAGATAGCGACAGACTGGATATTTCTGGGTTTTGCCTCATATCCAAGATTGCAACCGACGTATTGATTCGGAGCATTTGTAACACTTTCGTTGCTGTTTGTTCTGTTATACCGCAGTTTTGTATGTCTAATGCTGCAGACATTAATAGATTGGTTTTAACAGTTCCAGCTTTAACCGTGGCTAATTCGTTTAACATTCCCATCTAACGGTGGTTAGAGGTGATAGACTGGGTACGACTGAATCATGCCTTGAATGAAACATCTCAAATTTTTTGAAAACTACGATACCTACACGTGAGACGCAAAACTCGGTTTCTCCGTCGCGTAGTTTGTGTTCGAATCTGTAGTCTGTCGTCGCACTAAAGGCAGTGAGACACAATTTCCGATTGTTTTTTTTATTTTCAAATTATGCGCTCAAAAGTAGTTAATTTCGATTGTAAACTTTTTTCCCTTGTGTTTTGACAGAACTTTTTACTTATTAAAGTAAAAAGTTCTAGACATTAACTCAAACATTAGTTCTAACTAATCTTAGGTCAAAGGTGTTTAGTATTTATGCCAATGCATATCAGTTAAGATATAAAGAGTTATTATCAAAAGTTATTATCAAAAAAGTAGTTACTACCAAAAAAGAAGTATTGTTAAGGCCCATTTAGATGGAGAGAGTTTACCGTCTCGAAGATACGATTATCGAAAGAATATAAAAAACTTTCCTCGTCTAAACATTTGCGATTATCGACTGTCGACGTGAGCGATTTTCGCCTCGCCTTTCAATATTGAACGTCTCCGTGTAAACAGAACTCGAAAGCAAAAATCGTACTTGAGTGCAGTGCGCGAGGGTGTTTTGATTATCACTGCTTTTCTAAGACAAGAATTAATGAAACGAGAACGAAAAAAAAAATTTGGATTAAGAAATGTTAAAAAAATTTGAAAAAAAAATGTATATTTCTCTACAATGCAATGAATGAACTTAATATTATCAGTAGTTCCAAATTTGAATGATTTTCGCGGCATTTCGATATGTCCATAGTCAATACCAAAGTAATCACTGAACTCGAATGGCGAATCTCGCACTCAAAACGATTCGAAGTGATTTGTAGGATAATCGTACGAACTTGAAAAAATGTCATACGAGATCGTGTTTAGAGAAGTCGAAAACTCGTAAGCAAGAAACTCCTTACTACATATTTCTCTGTGTAAACAGTCGAGGAGGCGTTTAAGTTGCTTGCGAATCTCGTATGACATAATCGTAGGCGAGATTTTAGTTCTTGCCTGAATGTAAACATTATGATACGATAATCTTATGGCGATTATTGCTTACGATAATCGACTACGAGTTTTCGTCACGAAGCGTGCGAGAAACTCTGTCCATCTAAATGGGCCTTTAAGAACAAAAATATTGTTAGAACACGTTTTTTGGGTAGGACCGTATAAAAAAGTAGAGAAAATGCGCCAGAAGGTAGGCACTTTTACCTGTGCTGTTACAGATGCCAGCGGGCACTGGTAAAATGAGTGCTATGCGTGGCATTTCGGATGTAAGAGTGGCCATAAAGGCGAACTGAACAGTATAATCACAAGCGCATTAGTGGGGATAAACTGCTCTTGCCTAGTCAAAGATAGCCACTAACAAAAGAAAATGGTTGTCTAGTAGGATGACGACGTTGGCCGTCATTAGCCAATACCTAGTCTCCTCTTCGGAGAAAGCGAGACGAGCACGTTCTTTGGGGTTGCTGATAGCAAGATCTTCTTGAACACTTTTGCCGAGCGGCTCGACCCAGCGCTTTTGCTGATGTGGAAATAACGGGATATCTGTACTTACGAACGTTCAGGCGTTTCTGTATACGTATCGGTATTATATCTTACGATAATTTGTGCAAAATCAATCAACTTGTTTAAAACCATTTACCTACTTCATTGGTAGGCATTTTAAGTGATTTTCTAGGTACTTCGCATAATAATATAAGTATAACGCAAATAAAAATCAGAAACAATGAAATAACTATTTTTGTACTATAATAATAAAGCATATTTTGTACTCAGTAGTACATAGTATAATCATTCTTCATAGAAACGTTCCAAGTCCGGAGGTATATATACTACGAGTAGAGTAGGTACTATAGTTAAGATTAAAACATTGTTATGATATTAAAATAAAGTACCCATTATCCATAAGTCATCAGCAAGCACATCTAACAGTTTTGAAACTCCGACATCCCCAAGCTGAGTGTTGCTACAAAGAGTGATACGTCGGAGACCGGCCATAGTGTCTAACTCAGGCAGTCGATACCGTAAAGTATGCACCCAGTTCTCGCTGTAGCGGTGAATTTTTTGATACTGTAATGCAGATTGTTTCACGTAAATTAGGGATTTGTTAACCAGTTAATAACCAGCCTTCTGTCTATATAATTAATACCAACAATGCCAGTGATTTTCTTCACACTTTCGTGGTAACTTTGGACTGTCACATACGTACTGATAAACCAATAATTTGGAAAATTGAACATCTAGTACGCATACATTGCGCAATATAATTTGAAATAATAAAACATTTGATATTCGCTATATCTATTGAATTTACCAGGACGTTCATTGTTCAGGTATGACAGATATACAAACCTGTTGACAACACATTTGTCGAAACCGTTTTTTAAGCAGAAAAGTTAGAATCGTTAAATGGCGAATCCTTAATCACACATACCTTGACTAAATCAGCAATGTATCCAGCCCCTAGTGGAGTAAGCTCGCATTCGGATAGATCTAGTGTAAGGATGTTCGGCAGACAGCGGACAGCCTTACAGACAGCCTGACAACCCACGTCACCAATCAAACAGCGCGGCAGGTATAAGTGTTGTAGTGAACTGTTTGCCAAGATAGCCTGGAGAAAAATAACTCTTTTATGTGTAGGTAACAGGGAATTGATGAGAGATAACACTCCGTACTTAGAGAGAAATCCCTCCGACTTTTTCATGCTGCATTGTTATTATTATAGTGTAAACATTACACAATAATAATATTTAAAGTACGATAGCTACGCTTAGTCGTAAGGAGACATAAAAACTGTTAATATTCCAACTAGCAAAAACTTGTCATATATAAGGTGTAAATTTGAGACGGGGCAGCAAGGCCAGTCACCTTAATCGTTTTAGTTACAGGAAAACGGTTCTAGAAGACTATCCATGAATTTTGAAGGTATTTTGATTGACATTCACAGATTTAGGAAAAATCGTACAGTGAGCAAGATAAAAGGCAATTTTTACAAAACTTTTTTTATGCCATTCGATCCGGTCTCTGTTAAGGATCAATAGTCTCTATGGGACGAACTGAGGTAAGAGTACTCGAAATGTCAGAAATCGCAAAAAACTTTTTACCATACATTTTGTAGGGACATATTATTTAGTAATCAGTTATTCTAGGTAGTTAAGGAAACTACTTACTGCCCCGTCTGAAATTTACACCCTGTATACTTAGATTTATAAAGCCTAAAAATATGTTCTTATAAAGGCCATATTATCGTTTATAAGGGTGGATTTGGGCACAAAGTGCTTAAACCTTATACATGTCATATTCTTGGTTTATTAAATGAAAATAATTCTTATACAAGTTTTATTGTCGCTGGCAACAAGTACCTATATGCGATTTATATTTGTCATATTAAAGGTGTTTACACGGGCAATAGCCTTATACTAGCAATATCTGAGCTATTTATAAGGACGCTAAACTTATGTCATATTGACATCATTTAAAAGGGTAATTTCCTTGTATAAGCATTAACTGAGTACGTTATTATGGGCAATCATTCTTTTAGCCGGTGTGAAACGATTTACAAAAAGAGATATTATTTACTTCGTGTGCGATGCGTATTAAACAATATCCTGTCAACTATTTTTGTGAAACGCTGCTGTGGTATAGCTGTTTATGAGCTTATTTCAAGTGAAAACTACGTGGGACTTTAAAAGTATGAGAAAGTAAGGTATAGTTTGTGGTGTATTATCAACGTGCCATTGATATGGAACTGTTTTGTCCCGAAAAAGTGTGTAATTATTTTGTTGTTTTTAATACTGCTGCTACAAGAATAAAAATAAATTACACAACGTCTATAAGGGGACTATAAAGGTGATACCTTTATAAAAGCAATACTTATTGCTATGTTATCGCCATATTAATTATTATTTTGATTTTGGGGTTCCTTATTATAATCAAGTAAAACCAAATTTATATTGTTTTCTGTAATTGAAAAATTAATCTATTGTGCCAGTAATGTCCAGTCCCCATTTCAATAATGCTTATTTTTCTTTGTTGGCTTTGAACAACGTACGCGTATCGAAGGTAAGGTAAGGTAAGGTGGTAAGGTGTGTGGGATTGCGTTGTTTATTACTTTTGATAATTTGTTTATTGCTAAATGTGGAATATTGAACTTTACAGCCCGATTCCTGATATTGTCACGAAAGTCATACATTCTCACCTCGTCATTAATATACTCATCTATAATATCACTATCGCCATCAATTTGCTCTTCCTCACACACCGCGCTTAAATAATTTTGTACGAAACCACCAACTCCTTCGTTAGTGCTGGTTGGTAATGGTTGGTGGATAACGTCACAGAAGAAGTGGCGCGTGTAGAGTTTGCAGCCAAGTTCTAGTAGTAGTTCTAGTAGCTTTTTTGGTAACCCTTTTCCTAAAACCGCCCCTTCTCTTAAATGTCTTCCATTCTTGCAAATCCATTTTTTACAGGAAAAGGCGAAGACATCCCGACCATGCGTTGCACTTCAACGTGCTGACTTAGTTATGAAAATTGTAGTAATATAATAATCTAAAGAATAATACTCTTGTAATTACTGTATTAGTGATAATGAATTGCTTAAATTCTTATAAAAACTATATAGCTAACAAATATTCATTTGCTATATAAACCTTTATTAAAATATTTATAGCCTTATTTTTACCTTGTCCACTTCCTTTATAAGAATCTTTACGAAGACCTTTATGTAGCTTTAAATATTATATTTCAGTTAAGCAATAACATTCACCTTTATAAGAAGAGCACATTCTAAGGCTGTATTATTTGAGTTTAATAACGTTTATACAGCCAAATTAAAACTTAAAACCTCTTATAAAGTACTATTATAAGGTACATTGCAATAATGAATGCTCTTATAAAACAATTACAAGATTGCTAGCCATGAAGCTCTAACGTTATAAGGTTAATTTGCTAGTTGGGATTAGGTCCTTACCTATGAAATTGCCGTTTTAAATAGAGAGAATGGAAAAATAATTTTTAATGAAAAATATATATTTAATTAATCCATGTCATTATAGTCGATGCACTTTTGCCATTTTAATGGAAGTTCATTGATGCCTCTGCTATAGAAATCCTGGGGACGGGAATCGATGAACGTTTAAAAGCATGTTCCCCGCCTCATCGGATTTGAAATTTTTCCCCGTAAAAAATATCCAAATTAAAAAATATATATATAAATCAGTAAAACAAGGTCTGGTAAGTAAGGTAGGTGACGGAGAGTTTTTAGTCATAACTCCTATAGTTTTGAGAAGTCTGTCGTGCGATTAGAGTAATTGACAAGTCTCGGTTGTTTGACAGCCAGGTCATCCATCATCACTTGCAATTCTTTACAGTACACCTCTGCGATAATAGTTGCGACAGGTCTCAAGAAGCTGTACTGAACAATGCCGCTATAGGTCCACCATACACTCACAATCAACTTCTTTTGACTCAATTTGCCGTTGGGACATGGTTCGGCTGCCTCCCCTGCAGCCAACCAGTACGACGGATGTTTTCGATTGTCATACGAGATCCATTTTTCATCATAAGTGATAATCCGATCTAGAATCATTTGAGTGCCTATTCAACGACTCAAGGCAAGCTTCGATGCGATTTTGTTGTTGTTTAGTGCGATCATACGGTCCTTCTTAGCTTTTTGTCATTCGAATTTGACGCAAATTAGTCAGTTTATCACTTACGCCAAAGGTTGCTGCTAATTACGACTTAGAGTCTGAAAGAATTCGAGAAATACGACATGAATCTGCTAATTTAAAGCTATAGTAGCTTTCAATTCATCGTTATCGACTTTGGTTTCCGGTCAAGCCGAGCTCATTGTTGAGACCAAAATTTCCAGAAAGGAAGCAATCAACACCAAAACCAATCAAACACCAAAAACGCTCTGTGCGCTTACATGTACCTGGAAAAAAAAGAAAAAAGTTCTTTTTTTCCAGGGGATAATCCGTCATGGATATCACCGCCTCACGGGGGAGGCGCGGTGGTTATATGAAGACTTTACTCACTACAAACCCCCGGGTATTCTTCCTACAACCCGCACGGGAAGGGGTTGTGGCCACGTGGTTTACGATCCACGGCCCTTTTTGCAGTTCCACCTGTGAGGGATCACTATTCCCCCTTCATCGTTAGTGGCATGCCGGGAATACTTGGCACGCCAATCAACAAGTGAACCTTTATCCAATGGGTGACTAAAGCCCGCGTTTTTACCAACCAGGGTTCACTCTCAGGGCGGCATTTGGCCCACAAAACCCATATAAGCCAGCCGCCTGCGCCCCAAGCGTTTACGGTGCATAGAATGAGAGGAAGGACCTTCCTCGTACCCGTTCCGCCGCCTCATTCCGCGACATCACGTCAGTGCAGAAAGAGGCCACCGCACTCCACGCCCTACCGACCATAGCTTGAACCACGGTTCACCGCGGTCAGGGAAGATCGCTGGTCCAAAATATTCTATAGTAAAACCATTATTTAAGAAAGGTAATAGAAGGAATATGACCAACTATAGACCAGTTACACTTGTCCCAATACTATCAAAAGTCATGAAAAAGGTTATGCTTGAAAGGCTCAATAGTTTTCTCACTAAATATAATGTAATAACAGAGACGCAAAATGGATTCTTAAAAAATAAATCTACAACTCTAGCCAATTTTAAATTACAAACATCTGTGATGAAAAGTATCGACAAAAAGATCCCTGTAGCAGCCCTATTCTTTGATATGAGTAAGGCTTTTGACTGTGTTCATCATAAACGACTACTAAATAAATTACATAGTCAAGGCTTAAGGGGAAAGGTCAATGACTGGTTCCGGAGCTATTTAGAAAACAGATTTCAATGTACGGAAATTACTGAACTCCAGAATAATCGAAAGATTAAATGCTGGTCAGAGTTTAAGAGAATTAACTCTGGAGTTCCTCAAGGGAGTATACTTGGCCCCATTCTATTTTTATTGTATATAAATGATTTACCAATTATAACACAGCATGAAATGATACTTTTTGCTGATGACATAACAATTTTAGTTAAAAATTATAAAATGTTAAATTTTGAAGACGAAATAAATAGAGAAATAGAAAGGACGGCAATATGGATGAGTGATAACAATCTAAAAATCAACTTAGAAAAAACCAAAGTTATGCAATTTATGTCGCAAAGAAGAAATCCAGTGCAATTAAAAATAGAACACAGAGGTACAAGAATAGAAGAAGTAGAGTGTATGAAATTCTTAGGCCTTACACTGGATAGATACTATCACTGGAAAGCTCACGTGGAGTCTATATGCGCAAGATTAAATGGATTTGTATATGCACTACGGCGACTAACAGAGGTGGCAACAGTTGAAGTGGCGTTGAGTGCTTACCATGGATATGTAGCTTCAATCCTACAATATAGTTTGCTGTTGTGGGGAAACTGTAGCAATATAGACAATGTATTTAAAATTCAAAAAATATATATAAGGTCAATATGCAAAGCTAATTATAGAGAGTCATGCAGACCTCTATTCAAAAAGTTGAATATCCTCCCACTCCCATGCATTTCCATAAAACAGATAGCCACATTTGTAAAACAGTACCCTGACTTTTTTAAAACATGGAAACAGTTAAACATAAGGAAACATCAACTTCGACATCAAATTGATAATATGTTGCGGGCACCATATTGCCGAATATCAAGCATTGAAAATAGCCCATACTTTATGGCCATAAAAAATTTTAACTCGCTACCTAGTGATTTAAGAGTATTGCCACTAAATACATTTAGACGTGAAATAAATATAATGCTAGTTAAAGCTTGCTACTTCTCCGTAAATGAATTTCTGGAATGCAAAAATAACTCGCAAATCAAATAAACCGATTGACATCTGTACAACTGACATATAAGTATATCATCTAATGTGTACTATGCAATGTTTAATGTAATATAATCATAATAGTAAAATCTAATGATAATTCAATATTGACATCTTATATGATTATAACTTCAATATGATAAAATAATAATAGATTTAAATGTAATACTTTGAACTAATGACTTCAACAATTTGTAATAGTTTACTTAAGAATATTTGTCCGCCATTATTGGTAGATTTTTTGTGATACTTATCACTGTTATTTACTAAACATCAAATTGTTACACCAAAAAATCATTTCAATTCATTTCCTCTCCTCCCTCGCCGGAGATCCTCGGCGCAACCGATGGATGGCATACGGCCGTCAGTTCTCGTCCCACCCTGCACAGGTATTTGCCAAAGCAGCCGTGTCCCGACAGGACCTGCACAAGGTGAAAAGACACTCCTCCCTAGGATCGATCCGCCCATTCTCCCAGAACGGGTCGAATCGCTCCGATGGTCCAGTGGCCAGACTTAGGCTCCTCTTGCCTCGCTTGCCACTTCCGGACCGCGAACCGGTGCACGTTTGTCCGCCATCGATTAATGTGAAGTGTGAATTAAAGTGAAGCTCCAGAAGTGGCTCCTCTCGACTGTTTCCTGACTGACAACGCCTCCGCGTCCAGGTCCCGTGGTGGAACCGTATCTGCCATGGCACAAGCCGCCTCGTAAGAGGTGCCGAAGGCGCCGTAGTAGGCGAAATGTCGAGGAGCTGTCGCGACTCTTTTTTCCAATGGTCATAGAAACAGCTAAATTTAAAAAAAACGATCGGCAGAAACAAAGGAATAACTGATTTTTGAAAATAAATTTCATAGCTATATTATAACAATAATTTGAATTGAAAACTAATTAAAATAAAGATCGATAACTTCTTCGAACTTCAAACTAAAAAAACTTCTTACTTCCCAGTATTCACAATCGGCAATTTCATAGGTAAGGACCATTGACCTACCAACAAATGGACATCGGGTCTAATGCAAAAACCATGAAAAAAATGTCCGAGGTTAACCTATACATACGTAGTGACATGTAACGAAATATAAAAAACTAAAACATTAAATTTAAATTGTAACGCCATTGCAGTACTGCCTAAATTTGCTTACAACAATTTAAGGGCCCAAAAACACCATATTTAGCTTCTACTGGAAACTTAACAAAATGCACCATATTTAGCTTCAACTGAAAATTACTTGCAACACAAGAGTAATGGAATAGCCTTTCTCGTAAATATTAATTAATTTTTTTATATATTATTATGTCGAATTTTGTACAAATTCACTTAAAGGTATAATAAAGAGTTTGGCAGATACATACAAATATTACTACAAATGTGAAAATAAGCGCGTACTATAAGAAATGTACCGATATTCTAACTAAACGTGAACTCAAATATCCATAATTCCGATTTATAGCAAAACCGTTACGCTTTCGAGTAATTTTGATGCTTTTTACATAGACAAAAGTAGCTTTTGTTTGTAATCTTCGTAAAAACACGTTATCAAAATTCGAGCTAATGTTATTTCAGGCAAATGTATTTACTGACTTCTGATAGGTAATCCCATGCCGCAAAACGACTACAGCAATATTTTGTTAGCAATAGCTAACGCTTAATAAAAAAATCATTTTAAAAATAGGATTAAAATCAGAGCAACTCTACAGTTTCTTTGTTCTAAATATTTCAATCGCTTGTGGTTCGAACAATTGAAAATGACTAAGAAGTTTATATAAGCTTCTTGAAACTGACGTAATGGGTCTCTTTCCATCTTTTGCGGATGCAATGAGTAGAAAAAGGACAGTAAGCTATTTCATTATTTCGTGTGCTTTTGTAATTTATATTTATGATTCAGTTATAAATGTATAAATAAAATACTACAAAACTGTACAAAATAACACTTTTAAATGACAACTATGATAACATAATATATTTATTTAGTGAAAATATGATACAAAACTCTGTTTTCACACTTTACTGCAGTAATTTTTACAAGTTATTATTATTGTTACTGCATGAGTGACAAACGCGCTGTCACTCGAACAAACGAAGGCTATTGCGCGATTGACGCTCTGTATGCGATTTTAACGCCCTACAGGTGCGGACACTTTTTAGCGCGAACCCGACGTCCATTTATTGGTAGGTCAATGGTAAGGACCTAATATTTTCCAAACTAAAATTAACTTTTTTTAATGGATATAAGCTCAATATACGTACGGCACTACAGTCAGCTAAAGAAACCATATTTATAAGTGCATACAATATTAGATAAGTTTAAATGCAAGAACTTCAAGACCGCTAGAAATGGAAAAGTGTAAAACGTGCTTATTGTTTATAAGCAACTCCTTACCTCGCAAAGAGGATTCAAATAAGGTATCTTCAAAGGGAGTCCTTCCAGCGTCAACGACGACAGTAACGTGGTGTTGGACAGTAACTGAGAAATAGCCTCGATTAAATTGCTCAGCATGAAGTTGGTCAGGATCACAGCCCGTTTGTTTACCGTTTTTGCGAGCCTTTCGCAGTCTATGTGTTCCAGTACTGTAGAGAAATCAGATTGCGAACTAATGAACTTCTGGCATAGACAAATACTTAAGTCCGTAAGTACAAACATGTCTCAAGAATCTCCAAGAGTGATACTGCTTAATAATAAGTCGCTATTTTAATTAATAAGCAGGCTAAAATCTAAGTAGTGTAGTCTAGGCTCTACTCTATGAGTAGAATCACTGGCTGAATGAATAGTTTTGTAATTAGAATGTGTTTTGAAAAATGAAATAAGAAAAGAAGAGAACATCTCGAGATTACGAAATATAACCCAACGCTGAAAATATGTAAAAAAGTACAATAAAGCAAGTTTTGAAGATTATTCCAGTTTTAATTCATAAAAGTACCTCTCGCCACGCATCCTAAGCTTACATACGAAGCTTAATGATTGTATCGATAATTTTTAACCGACTTCAAAAAAAGGAGGAGGTGCTCAATTCAGCTGTATGTTTTTTATACGTATGTTAAGCGATAAGTCTTTTTCAATATGTGAACCGATTTTGATGATTCTTTTTTAAGCAATAAATATAACCACGAAATTGATTCCGTTAAGAAATGTGATTGGTTTCTTGGAAGTCACTCAATAAAATAGAATTTTTATAATAAATAATAAATAAAAAAAGTAGAGCTGAGCAGAGCACAGCAGAGTTAAATTATTTGTTATTATTATTAATTATTTTATAAATTATTAATAATTACTTATTACTAATGTAGTTTTGTAATTATATTTACATATAATTAAAAAAATACAATAAATTACAGACTTAGTAAAATAGAGATTGATAATAATAACAGGCTCATTCGTGTCTTATGTTAATCACATTGGCAACTAGGGAATTTCGTGCACTATGAGTATCAGAGTAGCGAAATAAAGCCCGACGACACTACCGAAAACACTCAAATCAGAAACAATTTAGGAAGTTTGTTCATTATTTAGATCGATTCTACCAGGAACCGAACCGGGGACTTCCTTATCAAGTGCTCAGAGTGTTAACCGCTAGACTAGGTCGACACATGGGTACATGTTCACATATAAAAAATCGTTAAGTAGTTTTTTGTGTGCACACAGAAATCCAATCTATACTATTACAGTCCTAGTAAAATAGCAGTGGTAAATGTTATTTTATATAACGCAACAACTTACGAGCTTGAACGATCTCTTAGGTAAATTACGGTGACAAATTAGTATTACCTTGTTAGACTTGTAAGACTAATAATCAGAAATTTTACAACTGCTATTTAGAAAGTTTATGAATGGTAAACCTAAATTTACCAGTTTTGACTTGTTGTCGGCATCTTATGGAAATAGAATGGAGACTCAGGTCGCAACTTAGAGCGTTCAGGATAGGCGGCCATTCTTGGTATTTAATCCTATCCACACAGAAATCCAGGACCTTTCCATTGCCGCCAGGGATAACAGAGTTCAGAGGAGTCAAATTCTGAAGTTTACAACATTTCAAGTAGCATTGATGGAATATCCTGCTATTCTTTGATTCTGTACCTTTTCCAACCATCCCTTTCCGTGGAAAGATAGTAATATCGAATCAAAAACACATTCGATCACACCGTATTAAATGACTGGGCGCTTCGCTTGCAATAGCAAAAAATGTACGATATAAAAGATGAATTTGTTAAATGACTCAAAAATATGGTGACAGGATGGTTTGAAATTGGAACAAACTGTTTTCGATGACGTCAGGTATACTCTGATCTATGCACATCACTTACTGGTGGTGTGAAAAAAAAATGGTAATTTTTGACAGATCGGTAGAAAATGAAACTATTTTTCCGGATTTAAATCGCGTATATTTGTTTTTTCAAACAAACCGACGTTTTGGGCCCTTTACAGGTCCCATGGTCACGGTTGACTGAGGTGGTACAGTCTTCAACCAGTTACGTCTAATATTGATGCAAACCTCCCTATTTTTTCACTATACTTACAATAGTTATTAATTAAATACCTTATTTTTAATTTTACAAAGAAAAAAGTTATTAAAAAAATAAGGTATTTAATTAATAACTATTGTAACTATAGTGAAAAAATAGGGTGGTTTGCATCAATATTAGACATAACTGGTTGAAGACTGTACCACCTCAGTCAACTGTGACCATCGGACCTGTAAAGGGCCCGAAACGTCGGTTTGTTTGAAAAAGCAAATATACGCGATTTAAATCCGGAAAAATATTTTCATTTCCTATGTGTAACAATCGCGAAAACCTAAGAACTCGATAGATCGGTAGAAGTTTCTCCCCCCATCCACGCATCCATAGGCACGGTACGCCAACACCGTTGGATTGAGTGACGACATTTTACCCCAGGATGCACAGGCTCATGTCTTCCCTTCCTATACAACCCTGGGATTGCATAAGAATGGAAGCCACTCAGTCACGTGGAGGTACGTCATCCTAGTACCCCATTGTACTCCCGTAATGGAGATACAAATCCGCGACGTGTGTACGGTACCTGTAGGGCTGGCACGATAAGGCGCGGCTAGCGCGAGAGCGACATAATGTGCGAGATTTTATGTTTTATGACACTCTCTCGCAAGTCCGCCTTATCGTGCTAGCCCTACTGTACGTCTGGCGCATCCTGGGCAACAATCAGCGTAAGTTCAGGGTTAAGAGCACGTCAAGCTTGACATTTAAGATTTAAATCCAACTCTATGCCGCTTACGATAAGAACGATCCAAAGTACAAAGTGTCAAGCTTGACGTAGTCTGTTCTTTCCTTACGACTATGGAAACCATTTTTTTCCATCCTCTAAGGTTGTGTCAATACAACACATTTTCAAATTGTATTTACAATCTGTAGGTGCCTATACACGTGTAGGTATTGAAGCGCCGAATAGGCGGGAGTCAACTGCCTCCGTGATCGAACGGTTACCATGCTGGACGCGCCACGCTGAGGTCCCGGGTTTGATTGCCGGGCCGGGAGAAGTAACGGCATGGCGTACATTTATTTCTCTCGTGAGTTTGGGTGTAATTTGTGGTTGACTATGTATGTGTCCATGGCACTCGCAATACAGGGTTTTCCTAGTGCGGGACTATGAGTGTGTGCGTTATTAATTACTTATTATTATTATTATATATTATGTTATTACAGTTGTACTGTGATTTGTCTTATTATACTACGGTTGTACATTGCAGCAAAAAGGTTTATACGTCGTCGCGATTGTTAATTAAGTCCTAAGGAGGGAAGCAAAGTAAAACACATTTATTTAAAATATTTGACATTGTTTATATTAAAATACTAGATAATCTAGATATATATACATATATATATAGACACCATACAATTATAACAATACTTATTTACACCATTTCCGCAATCACTTAGAGTAAATATGGAATAACTTAAGAATGGTACCATTTTCCAGAATCTTGTTCACCGATATACATCTGCTACCGTTTAATAAGCTCCGCCATTTTAAAAGCTCGCATGGACATATATTTTAAAGTTTTTGGGAAAGCTGCATAAAACTGCTGGGAAGAACACATATCGGTAAACAGCCTCCAATTGGTATATGTATCAGTGTGGAAATCCCGTTGGGCCACTTTGGTGTAATGCTGCAGTTATATGTAAATGATCTGAATATTATATTACATACATTTATCTACAGACCGCAAATTACGACCAGGGTAGAGATAAACTGTTTTGTTAGAACAAATTTCTTATCTCACACGTTACTTGATATCGAACGATATGATAGTTAGGGCCGACTCTAGTCTGTCTATGAATAAAAAAAAAACTACGGTTGCGTGAGAAAGTTTTTATTTACCGCTATTTCGCCAATAGTAACATGCGCTTCCTGAACACATCACAAAGGTTTATAGTATGTATATAGATAGAGCAGTGTATATAACTGTACATAGTAAGGCATTAAAACACTCGTGTGATGTTTTTATGAAACTCACCTGTCGGCTCGTTTCTTAAACCCACACTCGCCTTTCATTATGGTACAGTCACATAAACTACTATTTTCAACTGGGGGTGAATGGTAAGTTTGAAACTAGGAGTTATCAGGCCTACTTTTATGAATTCTAAAACTGCATCATTAGATTTTTGATGAATACATTTCTCTAGCCTTAAGTCGAACCGACTGATTTTGCAAAATATACCCGCCTTTATTATTATTGCACTCGTCGTATGTGTTGTTAAATAAAAATTAAAACATAAACTGCAGTTCAAGGTATGAAGTACTAAACCGAAAATAGCCCTGACAAATTTGCCCAATAGATAGATAATTAATAATATAGGCAACAATATGAACACCTTCACCACATTCATTCCACTAAGGTTAATTTTTATCTAATGCACTGTACGACTTAGAATTTAGCAATAAAATTGATCCTTTGTATGTATATCGTTTTGATTAGTTTAATCATATTCAGATCATTTAGATGCTGAATGTACGTACTTAATTCTAATATTAAAACTACGAGAGCATTAAAGGAAAAACAATTTTAATTACTTCTGGATATCTAAAAGTTCTTAGTTCTATGTACAAATGGCTTTATTGCGACATTTTGAAATATAGATAGATATTTATAATTTTCATAAACTTTTTTTTATAAAAGGTAGTAATATAGTAAGTACCCTATCCTAATACATATATTATCTCTACGCTAATGTTACAAAGAGGAATCATTGCGTTTTTGAGAATCTCATATTCAACCGAAACTACAAAAAAATCCATATATAATTGTTATGTCGATTCTTATACAGGCTACGTTTTTCCCATTACGACTGTCCTTTATTTTTAAACAATTTACTTCAAACGCAAATAACAACGCATTAGATTGATTTAAAATAAATGTAAAACGTATAAACTGACTCACAGTAAAACATATACTGGGAATTACAAACACTATCTAGTAATTTCGATATAATATGTGACAAGGTATAGCACATTGTGTTACAAGGGCGGTAAGTAGGCAATTACGAACCGATCCGAAAGCCAAGGCTTCAATGGCCCGAACGTTGCCGTTGGTAATTGCTGTTGCGTCGGGGCAGCATGCAATTTTTCATCACACTTGTAAGGAAGTTGAAAAAATAGTTTAAATTATGTATACCATCGGAGATAGTGCAAAGTCGTGTTAGTAGCATTGGTAAAAGGTGCGTATCTACACAAAACCAAATTTTACAGGGGAGGGTTTTAACGTTATTACTTTGTTATATCAATGGCTGCGACTTTCATTTTTGCACAGGAAGTATTAATTTATGTCATGTACGAACTGATAACAACAGATTCCCGTAAATCATGCTAATTTGTTTGCCACGAGGCTTGCGCGGATTTAATATATAACGTAAGTTACGCGGTATTGAAATCAAAGGCATACAATAATTGCAAATTTGAGTAATTTAGACAGTGTAATAACTGAATAGTTAAGTAGAAAAAATTGTATACTGTTTCAATAGATACATAAAAAATACAGAAATTTTGCCTATAGGTACTCATAAAGCTACACGTACCTGCAGATGGATATTTTGGTAGAAATTGATTGGAACTACTCCGTAAGCAAGCCATAAACATGTTTTTTCCTACATTTCGAGATAAAACATAAAGTTTATATTTCTCCATACGAACAAAACAAACTGTTGATGTTATGATGACATTCCGGATAGCTTTTGTTCTTGTGTTTCAGAATTAAAAAATAATTAAGTTTTTTTGTATGGAGAAATACATATATAATTTTTATCCAGCAATATAGGAAAAGTAATGTGTGGCTTGCTTACTGTATAGTTCTAATAATCTTTCCTAAGAAAAAAATATTCATCTAAAACCATCATTTTTTTCAGTCACGCACGTGCTTGAAAAAAAATAAAGGTTTTCATACACTAAAAAAAAGAACAGTGTACATTTGTTGTTTTTTTTTATAATAAAGCGTAGTTCATGTGAAAATAGCTGTTTTTTTATCTCTCATATTATATGTACATATTTTGTAGTTTATACTGCATATTTATATGAGCCCTAATTATTACCATAACTCGAAAGTGAAATACAAACTACTATACATTGTGTTAATAAGAAATACAAAAAAAAATTTACAGCGTATAATGGTTTTCACCTACGATTTTGGGCAGAAATGGGTTAAAACCGGGCGCTTTGGATAAAAACGTGGTTAAAACCCAGGCGGGCAGATTGGATTTTAATCGACTGCCTATTTCTGGACCTGGTGACAGATACGAGGAATTGTTATTCACCGATTTCTGGCTTTCTGTTAGTCAATCGCAACAGGAGTTAAGAAAGCGGGTCCCAATCATATAACTATAATTTTTTTACGTGCACTAGCATTCAAAACATAAATTGGCCACTTGTGTCAGATACGCGGAATTATCCAATGCTAAGTTACACGGAATTAAACTATCCCCGACGATATATGAAATAAAGCCGTCTGTTTTACATTAGTTTTTACAAATGAAGTGAAAAAGTCGACAGTTCCACAAATTTGGATTTTTTGACGCGAATTTACGTACTTACGGCAAAATAGTTGTGGCCGAACAGGCAGTTTGTCCGCGCTCTTCAAAAAATAAAAATAGAACTATTATCGTATGACAGTATAGTAATACTGCTAAACTATTTATGAGCATGTGTGATGATATTGATGCTATAATATCAGGCCATAAATATTACAAATCGAGCTTTAGAAAAAGATTATCGGTATAAATACCACACAGGTACGGCTGACACGAGGCTACGCTCTACAGCCGAAATTATGTATGTATCTATTTGCATTTATTTATTGCGCATTGGCTATAGAGCCATCAGCCTAAAAAGATAACAAATAATTAAGAAACTTAAAAAAGAAATACTTTTTACTAAAAATGAATTCTTGTAAAAACTGGAACTACATTTTTTATTCACAAAGCCGATCGTCTTTTTGTAATGCTCGAAGTGCATAAGTGTATACGGCCTGGTACACTGTCCGACAAAAAATACTAAACAATTTTGTAAATTAAAATAACCTAAAAATTTCCAACGACTAGATATTTAGCAAATAAAAAGACCAGTTGTTAAACTTCACATTACTGTTTACAAAGTGTCAGTATTGTTTTGGCAGTCTGTAGAATCTGAAAGCTTTAACTTAAGACTATTAATATTGTCTAAATAAAAAAAAGACGTACAGCTTGCTAAAAAATAAATTAAACAAACAATTAAACATAATTGTTATTTTAGACTATCATTGAATCTTATTATCTTATCTTCGAGAGTTAAACTCCAGACATCTGACAGCTATGATATTCATTCATTATCACATTAATTGGCTTTGATAACAAAAAGGTAACTAATATCGCGTTCTCAATAATAAAGTTACGAAATTGAAATAGTATTTTATACAATCGTGAAAAAAAAGAAACAAAAAACAAAATAAAAACAGAACAGGTCGAAAATTTAATTAGACGTAGTGTTCATTGCGGGTATCGAAATATTGGTTCTGTTTCATAATTTTATTTACTAGTACTAAAAGTATTGTATGCAACATTACATAATTAGATCTTAAAATCTCGTACCTTGCCAAGTGGCCTAAACACGGTACTGGACTTTAGGACTCATTATGCAACGATTGCATAAAAAATATTATTTTATTAAATATTATTATTTTAATTTTTAAACTGGTATAGTAAACGTCAATGAAATTAGTATATAATAAATAATATCCGCTTAGTTAAACGTTTTTGTTGGAGCAAGGTTTATAATTTACTCCCTACCAATTTTTTTCCATGCCTCTCCATCAGAATTACTTTAGAATCTAGCTTCAGCTTCCTAGATGAGTAGTTTTATCGTACGATGCTGTAAAAGTATTTCCGGAAATCCGGAATTCGAAAAGTAATTAATTAATAATTTGTGGTTTTAACCACTCCATGCCACTCTGTGTATCTATATCTAGTCATTTGGAACACCCTCTACCAGGGGTCGGCAACCTTTCGAGATCGGAAGAGTCCAAAATTACATTTTACAAAATTTCGATTTTTATAGGTTTTCTTAATAAAATATTTAATGTTTTGCGTATGGAACTAAAGATCTGCAATTTCATATCGAAAGAGCATACGCATACGGCTCGCGAGCCACAGGTTGCTGACTCCAGCGCTGTACTAACCACTGATTATAATATTTTTTAATTTTGTATTCTCGCCCTTTAAGAATAAAAGTGCAAGGTGGCGTGAATTATGTAGCAGGGAGTGTATGTTGAACAGCTGACATTATCTCCTCGCGAATTGAAACTAAAATTGCATCCATTTACGCGTCTAATAAGGTCCATTGTTAACAAGTTCAATAAAGGGCACATTGTAAGGCATGGCTGTGAAATATCCAATGTAGGTTAAGGAATAACGTCTATATATTTAGATTTTTTGACAACTGATGTTTACAAGTTTTTTATTTTATCATACCAAGTGATGGGACGAACAAGTCGTGCGCCTGGTGGTAAGCGACACGCCTATGCATAACAGTTGCATTGCCGCTTAGAGCTTTAAATCGCAAAGATCTGAGAAGCACTACCACAGCGCCCGTCACCCTAAGACATAAGTTAAAAAGTTCCATGTGCCTGTAATTGCATCAGTTTTTGGGATTATGGCCTCTTTGGCTCTGAACTTTATTCTGATATCCTTTTGAATGCAGATCGACCAACTTATCCGCAATAAGGCATTAAGACGCAATAAGGCAATAAGAGGAACTAAAGTCTTCTAACAGTCTTTTGCCATGGTTACTGGAAGCACTGTGCGGACACGGTTGTTACTACCAGGGTTGTTGCGAATATCAGCAGTCACATCCGCTGATAATCTGAATAAATTAAAATATCCGCATCCGCATTCATCGATGCTTTTACTCATTGCGGATGTTCGAGTCGTGATATGACCTGAAAGGCACGCTGCTGGAATAATTTACAAGCCTTCCAGAACTAAAAGCCGAAAAAGCAGCTCAGCTGAGGCTTTTGAGCTATAATTTTAATAAAATTCCACAATTCAGCCAGGCAGATTGATTGCTTTCATGTAGATTGTTTCTTTTGTTAATAAATATCACAAAATTATTGAAATAATATTTTATTACAATACCAAAGAAAATAGAAAGTTTTTTCATTCAGTAAGGATGTATAATTTGCGCGTTTTTTTAATACATAAAATAAGCATCTGCATCAGCATCCGTCGATGTTAAGGTAAAAAATCAGCATCCGCATCTACATCTGCTGATGTGTAAATAACCTCCTTCAGCAACCACCCTGGTTACTACACACGTGTAAGTATCTACAATTATACATTTGTAAAGTACAGTCAGATGCTACCCACTCATAAGTAACGTATATGTTATTCTTAATACAAGTTAGAATTGGTTGTTACGCATAAGTCACGTAGCTGTTGTGTCCAACCCGTTCGGACTCTGGCACATCATCACTTTCGTCACCAGAGCCTGAAATGGACTGTCGCCGCCACTCGCTCTCAGGATCTGAGAAGATGTTTGTGTCTGTTAATTCATCGTCGTCTATTTCATCGATGTCCAGTTCATCTGAAAACAAGTATTGGTTTAATTGACAATTTTATAGAGAGTATCCTATATTTATTAATATTAAATACTGTGCACTGATTATACAACCACGTAGATAATAAATAAATATAAATATTAGACAACATCACATACGTTGCTCTGATCCCAAAGTAAGTAACGGCATCAGTGGCCAAACGGTTACCAGACTGTCATGCAGAGGTCCCAGGTTTGATTCGCGGGCAAAAATATTTGTATGGCCTACATTTATTTCTCTCGTAAGTTTGGGTGTAATTTGTGGTTGTTTGGTGTATGTATCCATGGCACCCGCGACTCAGAGTTTCCCTAGTGCGGGGTTATGTTGAGTGTGTGCGTTATTATTATTATTTAAGTAACTAAAGCACTTGTGTTATGGAAATCGGAAACAACGACAACGGTACCACAAACACTAGACCAGAGATAACATAGAAAAGTTAGTTTCTACATTGACGGGATCGAACCCGGCACCTCAGAGATGGCGACCCCATGAAAACCGGTGTGCAAGCCGCTCGACAGTGGAGGTCGTCATAAGATATTTATATTATACATTATAATATAAAAAAAAACGATAAACATATTCTGTTTTTTAAGGGTCTATGTCTGACAGTGGACTGCAGCAAGTAAATTAAAGCAGACACATAAAGAAAAAAAATAAAATAATCCTATTTCCCTTTTTATACATCGTTCTGTCCAAGCGGGCGATGCTGTCACCTAACCGCGTAATTTGAAAGCCACTCTGAAGATCAGAGTCAAATTGTAAAATAGTAGCAGAGAATACTTTATAATATACTACAAATGCATAATTTAAAACACAGAAAGTTACATAGGTTTGGAAATTTATAGTGTATTCTCACTCTAATCTTTAGTCGGGCTTTCAAGTTCGGCTCCTGCTGATAGCTGACATAAAGGCTGATCAAATTCAAATGATCTTTTATTCATAGGTAAGCAAATTACATTTGAAATCGTCATATTAATTAAACTATACTGCTCTTTCTTAAGGTAGAGTCCCCTGAAAAGAATGAGCATGAAACTCTATATTTATTTCCAACATCTTAGATGGAGACGACCTGGCAAAGCTAAACGGGTCACTACCACGGATTCGTGTCATCCAAGTACGCATAAGCTGTGTAATAAACCTATAGAATAAAGTTTTTGTTTCACTATAGTTGAAAACCTCGTAAATGGCAAATTTTGAATATCAACCGGAATCTTATTAGTTATTATAGAAGTTTATACATTGCTCTTTCAATGAATCTGTGACGTAACTTTGTGAAGACTACTGTCAAGAATAACTATCCTTTATTATATGACTCACCATTATCAGCCAAGAGCTCCGTCGACCAGTCGTTGTCGAATTCGAGTTCTTTGTTGACAGAGCGCTCGTATTGCGACTGTACTACATCCGTGTCTGCGTCTGTGACATCGTATATCTCTGTCATTTTCACCTGCAAAAAAAGAAAGATCTAGATTACGTTGAATACTGGTTGAAATCGTGTCGCGTTGCATTTAAACCTCAACGCCATTAAGGACTATACAGAGATAAAAAGTGTTATAAAGTTCACTCATAGACATGGCGAGGTTAACATTTTATAGCGTTTTTTCGTTCTTCGCGTCTTCTCTACGTACTTTACTAGACTTTATATATATTAGACTTTTTGGTTATTGCAATAGCAAATATAGTAATGTATATACAAATATCAAAAACATGTCATACATATAATATTTTCTATTTTTAACCGACTTCAAAAAAAGGAGAAGGTTCTCAATTCGACTGTACGTTTTTTTTTGTATGTATGTTACGCGATAACTCCGGTATTTGTGAACCGATTTTCATGATTCTTTTTTGTTGGAAAGAGGTCTTTTTTGTTAGGTACGTCCATAGTGGTCCCATTTATTTTGAAGAAAATTATTCACCTCTAAGGGTGGCTGTTCACGCATGATTATAAATAGCGCCTAAAGTTTATTATAAGGAGCAATTATTTTAATGGTTGGTTTTGCTATTCTCCAATTCAAGGCGTTTTTCTCTCTCAATATACTTTGAGTAGTGAGAACCGATTTGTATTATTTCATGTCCCGTATAGTGGTGAACTAGGGGATGAATCCGGGTTTGCGCACTTTCCGGTAACCGATTTCAATAAAACTTGGTAATTATATGTAATTCCACGTACTTTTGACCTCGGTTTTTTTAGTACTCTGTGCTGAGATTATTAATTATGAGATCATACGGCGAACGGACTGCGGTGTACCTGGTCCCCGGGCATATTAATGACCTACCCTCTAAATTTTTTTTTTTAACATTTGCAGTACCACTCAGAGCTTTAAATCACAAAGATCTGAGCGCACTACCACTGCACCCGACCGACACCCTGAAACATAAGTTGACAAGTCCCACGTGTCTGTAATTTCACCAGTACCCTTACCCTTCGAAACCGGAACGTAGTAATATTCACTGTTTGGCGGCAGTACTTCCCTGGATGAACTCTTTCACGCTCTACTACTACTAAAAATGTTTCAGAAGCTTAGATTCGTAATCACCACAGCTGATTAGTTGATTTTTCTTTTCTATTTTGCGTAAGAATACTTCATTACAGTATGTATGATATAGTATACTTTATTAATAGTTTACTATCTTATTTTATTATAGTACGATTAAATCATTGCATGCATTGCCGATGCAGACGACATACAGCATTGATTCAAACCTTAGTGGTTTCTGTTTCTAAATTTTGTAATATTTGTCTGTAATGTGCCTATGTAATTGATTGGTAATATATATAAAAAAAGTGACTGTATCCGTAGTGAATTCATAGTTATTTTTAAATAGTTTAACAGCGTACCTACATAACCTTTGTACCTGACACATTCAAACACCTCATATAAACATTATTTATAGTTTCATATACATACGTATTGTAATACACTTGTTTTTTACATTTTTTGATATTGCAATAGCAAATTATTGTAATATCAATACAAATATCAGAAGCATGTCATACCATGTTTATAAAATTATAAATAATTCATATCAGGTATCTGAAGGTGTCAGGTACAAAGATTATGTAGTCTGTGAACGTACTTAAAAATAATGATGATTTCACTACGAATGCAGTCACTTAATAACTTATCATTAAAAATAGAAAATATATGTACATTAAACAAAAATCGCTGTCTGACCTTGCCAATTATTAGCATTTGTACAATCAGTCATCACCTGTATTTTATGCCAATTAATCTTATCTTAAATTATACTTAATGATACAATAAATATATACCTATCGTTTGGCTTTGAGTAGGTATCACTTAATAGTATTCCAAACGTAAGTAAGTCATTTTAAGAATCAAAAACCCATTGGGTAAATGTAGAATTAGATATCAATGAAAAAAACAATGTAGTTTATAATAAAATTAATAAAAATGATGCAACCGAGAACGTATTAATTTTTATGAGTAGCTTTTTTCTCTTATAACCTACACACACTCCCACACATATTCAATCATTTCCATTCTACTCACAAGGAGGTCACTACTCACATCTAAAATTATAAGTAACTTTAAATTTAAACTCAAAGTCCCTAGACTTATTTTAGAAGACAATGTTATTTTTTAAACCAGTCATAGTTCTTGTATTCATGTAAGAATTAATTTTAATTTAATTTATAATTTTAATAAATAATTAATTAATTTATATAACAAATTAATTTTAATTAATTCAATTAAGAATTAATTATCTAGTTCAGACACAGATGTCTTGCCCTAAATGCAACATTGCAAACTTAACACGAGTAAGTTAAGTTATGAAATAAATAAATTTATTATTATTATAGTTTAATAAAATTGTAAAGAGACAACGACCAAAACTGTTTTTATACTATACCTACGATAGCTTACAAACAAAGCCACTATCTTGTTCTTGTTTAACAAGAGGTTATTCACTATTACTCATCGGGCGAAGTTCGGTGATAATTATTTTATTATTTGTGGTCTTGTGTACGTGAAAGGACAACTGAGAGAAATTGATAATTATCATTTTCATAAAACTATCAGTGACCATTTAATGAGCACAGTTCTGTAGTCCTTTCTTCGGCTACAAGCGAAAAGGGATTTCTTCTTATACCAAATAGTTGATCATTTAGTTTTATTTTGCAGTCCTTAATTACATGTTTATATAGGTCTAGTTTTTAGCAACACATTTGCGTTATCAGTGGTGTCAAAAAAGTCGTTTAGAGGGCATAATGTCATATGTGCCAGCTGCAATTATGCGCACGAGCACCAGTTGTGATCGGTGTTACAAATCGACCGATAATAAACCGATTTTTTTATGATATAAGTGACGGGACGCATAACAATTACAAGGCGCCCACCACACTGAGACGTAAAGTTGACAAGACGCATATGCCTGCACCAGCATCCAAGGGAGTCACCACACTTATAAATACGGATACGCATTAACCCGGTCAGAAAAATCTTAGTGATCATGTATAAGAACAAAAATGACGTTGCGCGTTTCGCATCGGCGATCAGAGCGGAAGCGAGTTGCACAACATCTTTTTCGCTCTTATTGCAACGACATAATTATTTTTCTAATCGGCGTAAGGCGATTCCGTGTGAATTGATTGATGATGATGATTCCCTTACTTTTCAAAACTGGAACGCAATAATGCTGTCCACTGAAATTCAGCGTTACAGCCTTTTCTCGGCGGTGAGATTAGCTGAGTGGATCCTTTTACATACGCCACAGCGGCACACAGAAAAAAAGGATTTGTACTAATAAGAAAGAGCAATTTCTCAAAATATTTGCTAATTCTAACTAAACTATTTATTAAAAGTAATAAAATATTGTCATTACAAAAATACTGCTTATCTTTTTCTAATACAATTTTACTCTTAACTTTATTCTAACTTTTAGACACATACGTTCACTTCAAGATTTTATTTCATTTCTACTAATTGGACATTACTTACATCAAGAAATTTTTACCTCTTACATCAAATTTAAATAATCTTAAATGAATTCAAAATTTCTTGGGTGCATTTTAAGAAAATATATTCTTAAACAAAAAAAGAAGTAGTTTGCTATTCAGATTCATATTCTAAATTCTAGAGTATATTCTTAAAGCAACATTTCGTTGCGTGCGTTTTCATAGTCAATATTGACGAGACATGTCGCCGAAGGCGCACGCGGTAACGATTACTTTTACTGTGCTTGTAATCATAAAAATCATATACAGTTATTTATCCAAAGAACTGTTATTTATAGTCATAATTTAAGAAATTTGGTTTCAGCATGAAATCAAACTACACTTGTAACAAGCACAACTTTAACATGCAATTAGATCCATCACGCCACTGCTAGATGGCATTAGTTGTACTCTGAAACGCGCTATCGTTTTGTTAACTTCAATAGTATAAAGTCATCTCATATATTTGGAATTGTTAGTACTGTCTGCCACTGTAACGTTTATACGGCACTGTATGGTCCTATATTTGAAAAGATTCCGTCTTATTTATTTATTTATTTATATCTGCTACTTTAAGGTTTGGCACTGTACCGTGTGCTTTCACGCCAGTGAGACATACTGTTGGGTCCATAGCCCTGTAAATTTACCCTTTTTGATATTAGAAAACATAAAGCTTCAGTCAAATAATTAAGTATCTCTCAATTTTTCATTCTTTTTTTTCCAAATCAAAATCGGACATTTCTAATAACAAATAAATATTTTGTTGAACTTAGAGTGGCTTTGTGACTTGAAGTAAATTAATTTGCTCTTGGATTAAATATTTCTGTCTTATAACTAAAATACACTTTTGAGACGTTTTTTTACTATTATCAAGTAATTATTCTCTAGCGTCTATAGGGAGAGGATCGTTTTGTTGGATTTAATAAATTTGTCTTCATAAAAAGAATTTTGTCTTTTTCTAAGTAATCTGTTTTTACCGTGCATACATGACATCTACTTAGGACACAATAGTGTTGACTATTTAATGTTTTTGCTTTGCAAGATTTTATCTTTATTTTATTTTTTGTTATTCTATATTTTTTTTGTTTTAATTTAACTTTATCTTTTTTTAAATTTCTTACTATATATTTTGGTGCTGTGTAATAAATGATTTTTGTATTCTATTCTATCTTATTCATTTGGCGGTAGAAATATGTAAGACGGCAGAACTTCCCTGAACAAACTCTTTCAAAAGGAGCTCTACTGCTACTAAAAAGCAACGTTTGTTTTGGTAGAAAACTCATTTAAAATCTTCGTTTCTGTTTAGCTATTATTTTTATCCTGACAACCTCTAAATTTGCACTTAGTTTTCTCTTAACATCCAATCACTACCACTTACTACATAGTTTGTTATTCCGTGTTTAAACCCATTTTTTTGGAGTCAGTCTTTTGGTGTAAAGGTCAAACCTTCCACAACACAATATATCATCAATGGTTGCACTTTAGGG